CTGTTTGGAAGTATTAATACTCACAAAGTGTTCTTTCTTAGATTCCTTTATTTCTCGTTTCTCGTCTAATTTCAAACATCGCCACAAGGAGGTCCATGGAATCAACCGGTTCGGTCATTTCTACTTCGAAATCGTCCACAAAATACTCGTGGCACATCATTTTAGTCATCTTTCGGAAATCGCTCGTCCGCAAACACGGACACAGTTCCAAATCTCCAGTTATCTCCAGTATTTTCATCTGTTCGTTTATCTTCCACACGTTTTCTTTACAGACTGGTAACAACCTATTTGGAGCTGCATAATTCGTCGAGGCATTGCAGACTCCAGTCATCGCGTCACATCCAGACACTACGGTAGGAGATGAATTATCAGCCGACATACCAAACCAAGCCAAAAATGTATTGCTCGTCTGGATTTTTTAACGAAATATCCGCTTATTTTTATTTTTCCGATCAATCGGAACAATTTGAATTTTGAGTGAAGTAGCAAAATGCCACTGCAGCGAAATAATGCGTCCCAGCTTACATCACATGGCACGATACAACATAATGAAGTTGTACAATAAATTATAGAAAAAACTTTGAAAAGCAGTTGAATAGTTGAAAGAGTGTAGAGTGAATACTGAATATACCAAATGGATTTTTGTTTTATGTCGTTCCAATTTAGAATATGTACTGCGTATATATACATTGTTTATTTCCGGTTTCTATGTTGTAACAAAATACTCGTTGATTTAATTTCAGCCGTCGAATATATTTAAATTATATAGATGTATGCTTAAATATTTTTACAATAATGTATATTAATATAAAGAACTCGAACATCACTGCACATATCAATCGGCAGTGGTACAAAAAAATTTGTAGAGACTCAAAACATTATACTTATTATGACATGAAGCTCGCATATATTGTATAGTATTATATAATGCATGTTTAACATAGAACATATTTGGACTTCAGCGGAATTAATTTTGTGTTTTTAGTTGTATTATTACAGTATTTATTATCAAATGTTTTAAAGGTAAGGATATTATCAGTATTCTTTAGGTGGCTTTTTCTATCTTCATTTACTGAAGTCATGCATTGGCAAACTATTTCCAAAGTCCTAAAAAAGCATTTATATTGTTATTACTTATAAGTTATTTCTTTATGGATGAAAATATTTAAATCTCAAGAATTTAAATTAGAAGAACTTATCTGATAAAACCCAAAGTTGATAGTATTGTCATTGACAACTGACATAAATGACACGAGCGGCGCCGCGGCGGCAAAGAAAATTGCATATTGCCAAAAAAATGTATGAATGATTTTGTAGTTGAAAATTTATAAAATGTTAGACTTTTAGAGCTAAGGATTGAAAACTTACAACAAGGTTCCACGTAAGTATAGGTTCTTCTGTAGCCAAAAAATCTCAAAAATATAAATCACGGTTTTTTTTTTTTAGTTATTATCTATTAAAAATTGGAGGAAATTACACATTAAATAACCAAGAATAACGGTTTTAGTTATTTTTTTGTAATTTTATAATATTAATTCAACTTACCGTATTATAATAATAACTAATAAGTAATAACAATATAAGATATTATAAAATATCCAGACTTACAAACCGTCTCCGCTCGGAATCGGTTTTCTCATACAATTATATTATATCAGTGATGCAGTTAGATATACTCCATTATACATGTTACGCCACTTGTCTCCTACTGTACGGCAGAGCGAACATCCACTTACCCACTTTTTATTTTATTCTTTTTTATGTTTGACCTCAAGTTGATTTTGTTTCAATTTCTATTGTTATATTATTAAGAAAAGTAATAAATAATAATGTTAAAAAAGCTATGTACTTACTACTTATTGAAGTGCAATAAACGTTATTTCAGAAAATATATTTGAACGTATTATTAATTAGGAAGTTCTAAACGTATTAAGGGATTAATGAATGTTTTTCGAGTGGAGCGAAAAACAAATTGTTAGGTTACATACATATTTTATAGTGCGTATACCCATAAATATAGTTTACCAATACACCACTTCTATACTAGTACTTTTATCAAAACGCGTTATTTCCAATAGATTTTTTTCTAAAACGTTCTATAGATATCCATTTCCTTCAAACGTGATATTTCCTGTACTAAATCATAGGTCATACTTCTCATATTTTCCCAAAATGTAGTATTTAATTCAAAAGGTGCTAACGCCAATACCGCTAAATCCTCCAAAATTAAAAATATTCCATTATTTCATATTAAAATATGATGTGGTTTAGTACAAAACCAACGATAATAGAATAACATCACAACACAAAAATGTGATTGCTTCAAAAACTTAAATTATTCAAATAAGTAGTTTTTTGTGTTTTTTTGTTTTCCGGTTTTTTTTGGTATAACTTCCGTAATAGAAAAAGTTTTTTTTAAACACATTCCAATTCAATGCTTTAAAACACACATTTTGAAAAAAAAAATTTGAAGAACGAGCTTGGGCCGTAAACTAGATATTTTGTTCCTTTATATATATTATAATTGTAACACTATACCTATTATAGTATCGGTTTCTATAAAAACAGTTTAAGGGGTTTATATAGACAACCTGCTAAAATATTTAGAGATACAATGTCCCCTAGAAAATCTTTACAAGCTTCCCGTATTCTAATAACTAAATTATGCATACAAATGGGAAGCTCGTAAATTATAAACCTATATAATATTTTCTTGGACGATACATAGGTATCAAAATATTAATAATTATATTTATATAGGTAGTAAGCAAACATTAAAATCTAGTTAATAATTTATGAGGGACTCAATGGGTTTTAAGAGCAATTGAAAATTATAGTCAATGTAAATAAATATAGCTCTTAAAAGTTAGAGCTGGTTCCAATATTAAAATTCTAAAGATAATAGCTGATATAAAAGTAATTATAAATGTTAATAATGATAATAAATGTTTTGTACTATGGTCCATTTTAGCTCAGTTATATCCAGTAAATAATGATCCACAAAGGGTATCTAAGTATAAGTCATACGAGATACGAAAATATTTTTGATAAAGCTGTGAAAAGAATAGAATTCCCAATGAAAATTGATTGCATTTCTACATTTGGAAATATAGTAAACAATCTTAAATTAATTGAAGGAGGATTAACAAATAATGTATATTGACATATGATATTCATTCAAAAATCAGACCATCAACAAATAAAACACAAGAAAACAAGATGAAAAGAAAAATCATATTGAATAATGATTTGTTACTTTTAAAAAATAAACAAAATTTCTATTATTGTAAAGATTTATGAAGATAAGTTGGAAGTCAAGTTACAAAATATTTGTCTGAATAGTATATTGAATTGTATAATCTTTACATATTTGTGTGAATTACAATTAACTTTTAACCGATGTAACTATATACTATTATATTGAAGTAATATTATATATAATATAATATTATTATACTTAAACGCTGTACAAATGTCAACGGTATCAACAGTCTTCGCCCTTGGGTAGTATTAAGAATAAAATATTCCAAATGCAGTATTAGTAATACTTTTAAAATAATTTTCCAAAAGTATTTTGAATAACTATTTAGAATACCCATTTTTAAAATTAGTATTTTATTCCTATAAATAAATACTTTTTATTTACTTCTAGCTGATACCGTGCACTTAGTCGCCCTTTAAAAATACCAACGCTATATGAATAATATGTTCTTTTTATTATATAACGGTTACCATAACAACAATTTTAAACCAATGGCAACCAATAATAATAATTATTATTATAGCTTTGAAACCCACTGCCACCGTTTATAAACAAAAAAAATTTCCATAGGAAATCTCAAAATCCCTGTTTGAGCACCTCCCGAGGTTGGTTCTCTCCCTTTTTAAATTAGCCTATCTTCTGCCCAGAGGTCTAATCTATCTATATATATAAAAATATCTGATCCCGTGCACATCGTTGCCCATTAAAATTGCCAACTCTAACAAGAATAAAATGTTTTACATATCACCATGCCAACCATTTATATACAAAACATTCCAACGGAAATCTCAAAATAATATAATATATTAATGGTTGCCGCATGGTAATATGGACACATAGACACACACAGACAGACAGACAGACGACGGCATACATTCGTTTATATATTTATTATATATAGATAACCATTTCTATGTTTTTCTGAAAATGTTTACTAGCCTACACATTTTATAATTTTAAATCAAGTATCAACAACTTAAATATTATATTTAGAACTATTAAATTATATATTTTGGTGCTATTTCAAATTTTCTAGAACAAAAGTATCATTGGTTTAATGTTTAAAACAAAAACTAAAAATATAACCATAACGTCCTCTAAAGTCTAAACCACAATAACTGCAATATGGTTAGAAAGATGCATGTAGGTATATGTATATAGGTACTTAAATAATAAGAAAATATTACCTAATTGGGTTTTAAATTTTCTAAAGGAATCATTTAATGATGAACATTGTTAAGAAAAAAGGTGGGTATTACCTAGGTACTAAGAAAAAATAAGAGGAAAGGAATTAATTTTCGAAAATAGTAGGTATTTTACTATTTTATATACATTTATGTATGTACAGCTTAATTTGTTTTCTTATACGATATATACTTTATTTATGTACCTATAAATAAAATATAAAAGTTTATAAAAAATCATAATTGAAAAACCTACCCTGAACCAATATAATATTATAGTCATATAGCTACACAACAAGTGGCTTAAGGACAAAATTAGATATTTCAAGAAATACTCTAAGAAGTCTAAGATATAGAGTGAAAGGAGTTGATTTTTGAAAATACAGTTTTATATAAATTTACAAAAACATTAATTTTTATTTTTATATACATATACTTTTATTTATATTTATATATAATATATTTGTGTAATAATTTATAAAAAAAAAAAATGTATTATATCACCTACTCTGAACCCACGTATTGGACATATACGAATTGCACAATAAACAGGTTTAATATGGGCAAAATATGATGTCGTACTTGGTTATCGCGTTACCGCGACATGTAAACGAGCTGGTCGAGGCGTCGAACGCGTGACTGTGGGCGTTTGGACATGGTTTCTTAAAGAATGCCGGATTGTGGTTTTTTGGGGCCATGAGCTGATTTTACAAGTCGACTGGGTGTTGTAGGCACCTAGGCAGCAGTAAGCGTCCGTGTTGAACTGCGAACAGGCGCTGTGGCACGCCACCACGCTGGAGCCATCGCTGCCCTTACGGCCAGCTCCGACGGGCACACTTTGGTTTCAGGTCGGGCCACACTTCGGCCGGTTTGCAGTCGTACTTGCCTTTTTTCGTGTACGTGAAATACTCTATCGGCATCATCCTGATCGGCAGTTGTAGCCTTCCAAACATCGACACGTGGTAGGAAGTCCAATCGTCGGACCGGGTGAACTTCATCTCAGCAAACGACGGGCCCTGGCGGGGCACACGCCGTGATCCGCTGTCAGTGGATCTTGTCCCTGAATCGTGATAGAGCAATGAACTATAATAATTTTTTAGAGGGCAAAGCCTGCCAGGTGTAATACTTAATATAAAATTCTGTACATAACCAATTTATAAATTAATAAATAATTAGTGTATGTATCCCAAATGAAAATGAAAAGGCAATGTTCAGAGATACTGTTATCGTACTACTACCTTGCTTTATAAAGTAATATAGAGCCCAAAATAAAATACTAAATACCTGTTTTTACCATGGTATAGTATATAAATCGTTCATACGAATAAAAGAAGAAACACAAACGTCAATACCAATAATTACTAAACTGTATGTGCCTGTAAAAAATGCAATATATTTTGTTGATTTATAATTTAAAACATTATGGTTATGGTCGAATTTCAACCAATGGATACGGTACTAGTTTCAATTAAATGTCTTAAATGCCGAAAATATTATTTGGGTCACCACTACCATTGTCAGATTACTCAAATTCCAATAATGTAGAAAATGTAAGTACATTTCCTTATTGACATTAATCATGCTTTGATATAAGTATTTGGCAACCACTAGTCTCGATTTATGTGAGGCACAAGTTATATTGGTTTTAGACGTTTTAGTAGGTACTCTGTCCCGATATTCATCAATTCCCGGACGGGACGATAAATTATACCGCTTTCCTATTTTAAGTCCCGCTTAAAAGTGTTCTGTCTTCTGTGTTACGAAAAATAATAAAAAAGATTTCAGACCTTTAATTTAATTTCAAATAATTTTATGTTTTATGTCATATTTCTGAAGTTTAAAATAAAATAAAATATCAAATAAGACGTGTCGATTCGTGACCATTCTAAGTTCTAACCATAAATTAATGTTTTTGACCATCGTTTATTTTGTTCTACTCACAGGCATATTCAAGTATAACTTATTTGATATGACATCAACACGACTGACGAGTATAACATAGCGAGTCGTATTCACAAAATAGGGACTTGTTATTGGTTTTCGACTGTGCCGTCCAGGTGACTTTAACGTCGTGTAACGTGGATTGTTACTTGTTCTTGTAACAAGCCATCAAAGTAATATTATAGTCGGGTGGTAGAAGTGGTAGATGAATGGTAAATATTTATATAACATATGGCTCCAAAAATACTATAGTGATTTACTTAAAAATTGGAAAATTGAAATAATGAATCCCTTTTATTAAAAATTAATAAAAACGATACCAAATAATGTTTTTTTAATGCATAGATAGGGAGAACAGGAAATGTTTATTTCTCAGTCATTGTGATATAAACATGTTAAATAATGTATAAAACTTAATGTTATGCCTATAGCTGTAACTTGTACGGAGTATCCCCTAAAATTGAATATCCTAGTATATAATCCAAGATAATAACACCCATATATATAGCGTATAAATCTTAACTAATAACGTAATCACTCTCACAATAAAATAAATAAATGAATACATAGTGCACATTTATACATATAGGAGGCTTGCTAAAAAAATTGTACTTATTGCACTATTATTAGGTACCTCTATTATAGCAGTAGGTATAGCAAGTATTATATCAGATTCTATTTAAATGGAGCCACACATGTATAATGATTTTACACATATTTTTCATATGTTTGTTATCATTTATGATGTACATTTTTTTATCTGTCAACGCTCGTAAGCTTTTAAAGCAGCGAAAAGCATAAATTTTCAACATTGAGGGTTCCCAGTATAGTAAATTTGATCTAGTTGGGGGAAGGGGAATGATGGACTGGGATATGAAAATGCTGAATACGTCTCTGAAAACGTATTTAAATCAAATACATTCAAGTGAGTATACCTTCTGTATGGACGTGTATTTTTTAGGTCAGGAATTTAAATATACATAGATTTATTAAATATTTTGTTATTATTGACAACATAATATACCGTTATTAGCAATACGTAGATAGCACAAAGTCCGCGGAAACAGGTATACAAATATACAATCACCAGCTTCATATTATTCTGAAGGGAAACAAGCGTCGTTCATCGCCAGCAGTAGTAGCGATGGTTAAAACACAGATTTTAGGATAATGGCAGGCTACATCACGATCGAATCAGACTGTATACTATTATACATTTATACTATTATATTGTATATTATACCTACTATAATGATGGGTCATTATTGTGATAAAAATTGTTCGTATATTTTTTCTTGACTGAGACGTGGATTGGGTAGGAAGGACGATTTTTCTGATATGAATTTGTGTACAAAATTGATATTTATCAACTTCTATATATAAATACTAGCTGATCCTGCACAGTGTGTTGCCCCAGACAAATTAAATGAGTGAGACAGATTTGGCTGTGGATCGCTTATAAAAACACACTCCAACAATGCCTTTTATTAATACCTATGTATATATGGGAAAAATAACATAAATGTTACTAATATTTTTAAACTTATTCAACCCATTTATATTACTTGGCTTTGCCCCGGAATAAATAAACCGGAAATGAGAGGGCAATCCCCCTGTTACGGATAATAATGTTTTTTTTCTTACGTGACCAATTGCGAGCAGAAATAAACGAAATTGCGGTTATGGTTTTAATATAATACTAACAACAGGTACTTACCCCGCCCTAAAATAACATTTTACTAATGAGTAAGAAAGGCTAAACAGATTAAGACGTTTCTACTTCCGTTTTCCGAATAATATAGGGTCGAACGTATCGCAATAAGCCTATTACAAATCGACCATATGTCCATATAGACTTACCGCAATCGCCCGTTTCGCATTTTCCTTGACTGTCGCAATTGGTCCTACCCCAAATCCTGCCCGCCCAATTTCGAGGCGTATTAAACGTATGGGTCTTGTAAGCGTCCAACAAAAATCCGCCGTTTAGGAGATGTTCGTGTTCCGGGTCGCCTTGTATGCCGGGCCATACAGTAAACGAGCAGTTGTTTTTTATTCTAATCAGGTGTGCTTTAGTCACTGCAGTCAATTGAACAAAAAACAGTACAAACTTAAGGTCCATTTCGAGAGTTCAGACCGCCGGATTATGATAGGTACACTGTATAGGTGGTTAACTGGCGATAGAATTTGCGAGCTGTACCTATTAGCAATGACGTCGCATCTCATATCACAACTTGTTTTTATACCAACGCGAACCAACAGACAGTAATTACTGTTTATTTTACAAAGTAACAACTCAAGGTTAACCACTGGACCTGTTGTTCTTTTCACGCACCATGGTCATGTGTATTAGTTATTGCCACGTTTTAAGATAGATACTATTTTAAATCTCGATCATTGCCTGAACAGCTGTGAACAGCTGAACAGCTGAACAACTGAGAAACTCTTTTATCATCATCTTAATTTAATTATTGTTATTAAGTTTTTTTTCTGGTTTTTCCTTAATTTTTATTGTTTTTCTGACTCTTTTAAAAACCCATGGAATATTCTTCCATTATTTGGTACTTTTCCTTTAACATCCGCTACTCCGGAACTTACATTTTCTGTTCTAAAATGATTTAATATATATTTAAAGTATATTTAAATATAATTAATATATTTAGTATTTACACAGATATTTGTTGTCTCCGTCTTACAAGTGCGTAACATAGCAAATTTATGTTCAGCAGATCACGTTTAATGTTAAATTTCGTTAGTTTACAAATTACAGTGAATCAACCTTTTATGAAACTTGATGCGGTGAGAACATTATATTATCTGTGTTTGTATGTGAGTTTCATAATTCAGTTTTTAAGTAAGTTATGTGCATTTTTAATTTACGCTATATTATATACGCATAGCTTGCTGAAAAATTGAACTATCGTAAGAGCCCCACATACAAACACAGATAATGTTCTTACCATCAAGTTTCATAATATGTCGACGCACTCTAATTTTTAAGCTAACGGAGCTAAACGTGATAGGCTGAACAAAATTTGTTTTACAAATTCTGTTACAAACTTGTAAGATGGAGGCAACAAATGGATGTAGGACGTCCTCGAGTCATAATTATAAATAAATGAAGAAAGGTTTGGCCTTATCTACAACAAATAAAGATTAGAATATTCAAACATAGAAAAAGAATTATTGACACCTTTTACCTATTTAAAAATCTCCCCTAGTAGGATGAAAGTTATAGAATGGGCACAATAATAATATAGTATATTAAAGTATAGGACATAAGTAAGTCATAAAGATTATTTACCTTATATTTATATAAGTTTATTATTTTTTTTTAGATTCTGAGTGGAGCGATGAAAGTATTGATTTTACCATAATGATGAGTGTTTTTTTTATTTTTTTATGTCTGTCACCACCGTTTGGGACAGTAAAACTGCTTCGATTTTCTTCAACAAAATACTGTTCGATGGGAAAGTGAATCTAGTTTGTGCATTCGGGAGATCAAAATTGAAAATTCCCAATAGTTTTCAAAAGCGCAGGGAAAAGGACATAAAAATTAAGAAAAAACGAGAGCGCGTAAATAAGGGCTTGTAGGTATACGGGGTGATCCATTTTACGTAAGACGTCACTCATTATTTCAGAAAACGAGAAAACAATAACTTTTTGCAAATATCTATTTCACGTAATTTTAATTCGTTTCAAAACAACATTTTTGTTTACTCTTTTAAATAAATTACAACATACATTTTAGATTCTAAGCAGAGCGAGGAAGCTAGTGGTTTTACAATATTGTTTATTTTTTTTTTTTATATATCTTGTATACAAAATATCTACCAGAAGGAGTGCTTCGATTTCAGCACAAAGTACTTTATATTTTAGCAAATTGGATCAAGATAGTACTTTAGAAAGGTTATTTTTCAATTATCTCAATAATTATTTAATGCCACAGGAAAAACCACCGACTACCACTAAAAATTGGATTTAATTTCTAACTCTTTGTTTATCACCATAGAAACGAATAAAAAATAATAATACCTATTATAATATAAATTTAACTTACAGGAAATAATAAATAATAACAATATCCAGACCGACAAACCGTCCCCTCTCAGAATCGTTTTCCTTATACAATGATATTATATCATTGAATTCAAGTTTAATACAATCCTTTATACATTGACCTACTTGTAACCTACTGTACAGCATTAATGATCTGACCATTATTATTCCATATTTATATTATTACCTATATTGCCTATATTACCTTATCAAATTTCAATACATAATTTATTACTTACTGTTTTATATACTATTTGTAATTTATTATAAATTTAATAAATTGTTTTTGTTTAAATGTTTTATTTTTTCTATGTTGTTATTTTAAAAATAATTTGTATTGTGTATAATTATTTAACCAGCCAGATTTGAACTGTAACTTTTTAAAATGTCTATATTTGTTAGGGTTCATATACCCGTTTAAAACTACTAATAAATAAATAAATAAATAAATTTCTGTTGTTTTGTTAAAAAATAAAATTATTTTATTATATATTGTAAGTTGGTACTAACATTATATATATCCATTATACATTGACCCACTTGTAACCTACTGTACAGCAGAGCAACATCCACTTACCCGCCTTTTTAAAATTGTATTCCAATTTTCATTAAAATTGCCTATACCGAACCCCGTAAAACTCCTTTTATGTAACACAAATATTTTTTTCCTATTTATTATGTTATATCATATATTAAACATACATAGCTAGCCAACGGCTATGTAGAATTTGAAAACAAAAATATGATGACAATAGATGGCGCTACTAAACGTTTTCTACATAATATAGCATTGTACCCGAGAATCTGTACCCGACTCAACCCGAGCCATGTATTGTCACCAAGAACATGATTTCCAAATTCCACGCAGTCGTTGGCTATCTATGTATGTTTAATCTGTAGTTATATACACAATCTGTACCTATATAATAAGACTAATAGCTTAACGGATAAGATCACCACCTACTGGTACACTTTAAACCAACAAATTAATTTATTTATACATTAGTATATTGCTACTTAATTTATAATCTGCCACGCATAGTTACTGGGGTTTGGACCATTTTTTCTATTTGGTATTTAGTTTTCAAAATCCCTTATGACTATTCAGTATTCATTACAAAATACAAATATATAAATAAGTGAATACATTATGTGTATTATGTGGGTTTGATTTAAGTATACATCATAATGTGATATATATCATATATATATTATGTAGGTATCTATTTTATAGAAAAAAAATGGTGCCTCACAACTGGTTGTCAAATAGAAGATGTGGAAAACTTCAAAATAGTAAATACACGTGATTGGGTCTCATTATTAAATAAACAGAGATTACTTTAAAACTAATCCTATTGGTGCATTATTGTTGCTACATTTTTAAAAATACTTTTAATTAAAAGTAATTTAAAATACTAAAATGTTGCATAAAATATAAATTGCAATACCTATATAATATATTATATAGGTACCAATAGTATAACTATAAATGAGAATGGAGATATAAACATAAAATACATTTTAAATAATAACAAATTGAAAATATAACATTACAATAGTATTAAGTCTAAAGTTTTTATGTTTTGGTTTCAGTGGTCAGCGCAGAGCCAACCTTGTCCTTGTGTATATAACTTATTTAATATTTGTGTTTATTATTATGTATTAATCTAGTATTAAAACAAAGTTATGAACATTATGTGTGTCTGTACGTTGGTTTTTCTACGATAAATGATTATTTTTGTATTGTAAATTGTAATATTTTACATAATTACTCATAACCAAGGGCGTACTCACGGTGCTCACGATTATATATCGATTATCAACAATTTTTGTACTATAATTTATAGTCTATAAGGAGTATGGACCACTTGAATTAAGTTTAGGCTGATGAAAGAATGAGGGCCCCAGGCCCCCGAATCTTGGCTTATGAACAGGTATCTACAAAACTATATATCTGTGTATAGTTGTAAACCTAAGAGGATATTTTATGATTTTTTTCCCTAATGTATTTTAAAAGTATAAATACGATTAAAAACCATTGGCTATGTTTTAAGTTATTTTATATTTTATATTTTAGAAATACCTACAATGGATCAATAAATGTAAGTATATATATATATGCGGTGTATACATACAATATATCCACATTATCAAATCAACAACTGAAAATCGATGCTTTTTTAAGCTTTTCGTTATACATTAATACATTATTAATAAATCTTACATACAATATTTGTTACAACTGTCTGTTGCCTGGATCTAGTGATAATATTGGTAACTGGTAAGACTAATAATTACTCTTTGGTGGTTGAAAATTGTAATACTCTTACATCTAATCCAAATAGATTAAACATTAATATTGAAGTATTGAACTGTCTCTCTTTAACACAACTAGTACAAGCATTTAATAATAATAATATTTTTAAATTACAAAAATATGACTAAAATTGTTATTCGTCTTTTAAAGTTTAAAATATACAGTTTTATCAAAATTATAAATTTAAATTTAAAATATCTATAAAAAAAGATTTTTTGGTTACTTTATAAATTAATTATGAGAAACCCTGTTTTAAATTTTCAAGCCTTAACTATAAAAATTGAATATTTTATAAATTTTTAACTACAAAATAATTTGAAAATTTTCGAGATTTTGATGAATTTTGTCAACATATTAACTTTAAATGTTCACAAAAAAAAATCAGGCTTATGTACCTTTATTATTTTTGAATCCATAATTTTTTATGACGAACACAAACACACACACATCATTGTATAATAAATATATTCATCACACCACTTAGAATCTATAGAATTGATATAGTAAGAAAACTGAATATATAATTTAAGTTAAGTGGACCCGGGCTCCAAAATTCCTAAGTAGAAGCGTGGAATTCTATTATCTATATTATTTTTTATAAATAAAAACTCACATTTCAACAAATTATAATTATAAATCATAATCCAAAGTCAATACTACATGTTTGAAAAAAATATAAGGAAAAAATTATAACTCTGTAACATAAACAACAACTAACTTACTTAGGTAAAAAATAATATCGAGAATCGAGATCGAAAACGAGTACAGGTTAAACGTTAAAGTTCATACTTGACAACATTTATATTGTAAAATAGCAGTAGGATTTACACTTCGTATAGTAATTATAACGGGTTTCACTAATGTTTCACTAATTTTACTAATGTTTTGTACTGTTTTACCTGTTTACACGTGTGGCATTAGTGTGAGTGGTCAAATACTTATGTACCTACTAAATACTAAGCAACGTGTGAACCAGGCATAGTATTGAGTAAATACAATTTAGTGTTCAAAGAATTTCTAGGTTAGTTTTAAACTTCTAAATAACTTCAATTCATTGTTTTTTTTTTTTTTTTTTTGTCGTAAAACGGTAATTTCGCATTTGGCCGATACCCAGTTTTCGGAAACACCCAATTCGAGGACAATTAGTATTCACGGTCGTTTTAATAAAATTAATAAAATTGTTTATTTAAATATTAAACACATAAAAAATATCTTATAGAAGAAAAACCTAATGTCGGCGAACTGGGCAAAAACTGATGAAATTACGTTAGTGGCCCTGAGCAATGGCTAAGTACACTGGTATGATCTCAACTATTTTTTTTTTTTTTTTTTATTAGGGTTGAGGCTTCGACAACATAGGTCATTAGCCTGTGGCACTGTAGGGGGGAACTGTAGGTTGTTAACACGTGTGTGTGTTTTGGCAGAATTTTCGATTTGGGCACCTGCCCAGGTATCTGCCATGCCCAGGTGTGGGATGGCGGCACTTGTTCTCCGGACACCGTGACTTGCCCGAAGAAAAATGCCGCCCGTGACCATGGGATCGAACCGGCGCCGGCAGCGTCGCAACCGACGCCTTAGACCGCTCAGCCACTCCATCCCCCGATCTCAACTATTGTTAACCATAATAACCATAATATGTGCAGCTACGTCAGGCTGTCTGACGAATGGTATTGTCCGCCACAAAACGAAGACAGGCATACGTCAAAATTAAACACAGGTAGTAATAATAAAAACATGCTTTCGCGGACTGTTCATCCAAGTTGAGACATACCAGTCAAGGCTCAACTGTCGTATTTGTTTGTTTCTCATTCTCATAATCTATAAATAACTTAGGTAGTTTAGTATTCTCAATTCATTGGATTCTTTGATTTGAATATATTATTATATGTAAAATATAATATCATTGATATTGATATAAAATAAGATAATAATAAGAGTCGAATAATAATTATTGTTTAAGTGTCTGAAAACAAAACTTAAAAATAAATATTTACCTGGGCTCAACACCTCAAATCAAAAGGAAATCTGTAAAATCTAGACTTCACTTGCTCCGTCCACTTCTCCGCTCCAAACTAAACATCAGCAATAAATTGTTAATCTACAAAGCTATTTTAAGACCTGTATGGGCATACGGCATCCAGATATGGGGCTCCGTGAAACCCTCAAACTTGCGAACTATACAAGCCTTCCAATCAATATGACTCCGTCAAATCGCTTCTGCCCCTTGGTATATACAAAACGCCAATCTTCACAAAGACTTAAACGTTCCCACACTTTCTCAGCTAACCAAATCCCACTTCCTCTCATTTCATTCTAAGCTAAATCTCCATACTAATCCATTAATTAAACGTCTGTCTTCTTGTACAATTCCCGATAATCCTAGAAGAAGACTGAAATGATCTTGGCCTAGAGATTTCCTTGCTTGATCTGTCGGGTGGTACTACCTTCCCTCTCTGTTATATCAACGCTATTCTCCATCAAAAAAATTACTTATTGTATAAAATGTTTGTATAGATTGTAATTATTCTTTAAATAAAAAAAAAAATAATAAATAAATAAATAAATAAATATTTAACACAATTTGAAATGGTAAACAACTTGTATATTTCCTATATATTTCGATGAAATAGCATGAAAAAAAGACTGTTAACATCTTTTTTTGGCAGTGCAGGCACGTCCGGCACGCCCGTGCGTACGACTAGGGCTATATAGGATAATAATGTATTGATATTATTTAATTTTAATTATGCTCGTACAAAAACATTAATAAAGAAATAAAATGAATTTTATGTTTTTTTTTGTATTGAAACACTTAAAAAAATCGTATATTATATGGATATAGTATATTGATATATTATACCACATAATATATTTTATAATTATATGGAATTACAATATGCCCTTGAGTTGTTTTGATTAACCATTACCTACATCCATTTATTAAAGACGCACTATGTATAATAAGCCAATCATTAAGTTACAAAAAATACTAATAAATGTAACAACTGTTTCTTTTAAGTACCTAAATAGGTACGGTACCGTAAATGGTCACCCCCGCCGCTCTATACAATTCGAATTTCGATACACCCAGTTAATAGTCTAATAATTTGTGTGAATCTTGGGAAAATGTTTACTGTCTATTACTATTATTACTATTATTAGTATTACTATGTAGAATGTATGTAGGTACTATGGGTACTTATAGCCCAAAGGTATAATTAAGTAAATATAAATACCTTTATTATTGTACTTATGAATTATGATAGGGTCCAGCCTATCTAGGACACATCGCCAGACCCTTTCTCGGAAAATAGCATATTGTGGCATCATTTGGGTAAGCCATCCCTTCCCCCCCCCCGTCAATAACCTGCAAATAGTAAATTTTATTTTTATTTAGTTTTTGAAAAATATATATGACTAGCTGAATAACCCGGCGTTTCCCGGGAAAAAAATTGTGATTAATTAACTCCTTTTGGGTGTAATTCACTGTGCGTGTATGGAAGTAAAATCATATTAATATATTTTAATTTTTAGCCATCCCGCGTGACATTGCCCATGAGTTTCGTTTATGGTTATGGAACTTGTAACCTACTGTACAGCAGAGTGACATCCACTAACCCGCTTTTTATATATAATATAATATATATTACTATTAATAAAGGTATTACCAATATTTATAATTTTCAGAAGCATTAATAAATATAAAAATTACTTATTACGTATGCCTTATGGCGTATATACCTACCTATACTATTTATTATTATTATTATTATTATTAAATATAAAGTTTATATAATTATGGTGTGAAAAGAACAAAATTATATGTCTTGATAATTAAGTTTTAATAGAGGGAGAGAGAAGTTCCATTCGTCTGCAACCTTGAGTTGTTCCTTTGTATATTATCAAGATTATTGGTATATATACAAGATGTGATATTAGATGCGACGCCATTGCTAATGCAGCTCTCAAATTCTATCACCAGTTAACCGCCTATACAGTATACCTATCATCATCCCTTGGTCTCAACTCTCGAGATGGACTTTAAATTTGTAATATTTTTATTTCAAATGGCTGCAGTCACTAAAACACACATGTTTAGAATAACAAACAACTGCCCATTTACTGTATGGCCAGGCATACAAGGCAACCCGGGACACGAACATCTCGAAAATGGCGGATTTTCATTGGGCCCTTACAGGACCCATTTAGTTATCTCGTCTCGAAATTGGACGGGCAGGATTTGGGGCAGGACCAAATGCAACAGTAAAGGAAAATGCGAAACGGGCGATTGTGGTAAGTCTATATGGTCGATTTGTAATAGCTAGCTAGGCTTATTGCGATAAGTTCGAGTCGTTCCACCCTTAAAATATTATTCGGAAAACAGTAGTAGAGATGTCTTAATCGGGTTAGGTTCTTAACCATTATATGAGAACTAGCAACTATTACCTACATAAATAATAAATATCTCTAATATTAAAAACATTTTGATAAAAATGAGAATATAACGATTTAAATATATAGGATACAAGTTTACGGAGTAACTATATATACAATGGTTTATATGTTATTATATTATTATTATTGTCATGATGATTTTTAAGACAGATAAAATTACTATACCACAGAATAGAACCACCTGATCGGCAGAAAGTTTTCGAGTGAAAGTTTTCATGAAATTTGAAAAGTTGTAAAGGTTGTTGAAATGAAAAGTTTTGAAACTTTTAATTACCCGCCAAACAGTGATTGATATGATTGTTGAAGTATTAATTTAATATAAATAAATACATCAATAACACCTAACAAATCTCTATAATTAAGTATATAAACTTTTAAGGTGATGAGATGTACTTAAACTATAACAAACAATTTTAACTGTGGAAAAGGTATACAAATAAAATTAAAGGTTTAAAAGAGCAAAATGAAAAGTTTCAATTTTTTTTTTGAAAATTTTCTGAAAAGTTAACCGGGCGAGTAAAAACATGAAAGTTAACATATATTCTGATAGGCCACAAACATTTAAGAAAAATTACGTACTTATAAAATATGTGACTTTTATTATCGTACTTTTCTAAACAAAAATCATTGAAAACAATAGAAAATATGAAAGGAAAGAACCTCCAAAATATGATCTTAAAATAAAATATACAATCTTTAAAACAAAATATGCATAAATGCATAATGCAATTGAGTATTTGATTCCAAATGTATTAAATTTACATTAAAAATACTTACCTTTGAGCTCTTTATACTCTACTTATTACAAACTTTTCCATTATTATTTAAAAACAATAGTCACAACTCACAAATTACAACTCTAGGATGGTGCTCAGTAACTATACTCGTTATTGAGTAGCAGGCGCTTCATAGGTCTGATCAGTGATTATAGTAATAACCTAATAAAAGTATAAAATTACAAAAAAAATGGAAAAAAATATTAACCATAGGTATACTTAACCTTTAGATTAGCCAGTATTAGGTACTAGGCAACCTGCAACTTCACCTATAGGTCCTATACGGCTATACTACGTATATTGTACGAGTGTATTAATTATTGCATTATATATTTATTTACCTAAGTCTACATAATAAAAATGAAATGCCGCATGCCCGCATCACTTGATAGCGGTGGACTCTTTCGCTCATTTTTTTCTTAAATGTTCGTAATAGTTCGAATGAGGTTGTTACGAACAGAAAAATTGGAAAAGTTGGCCGGAAAATTGGAAAATTTAAAAAAACTGAAAGGTATTTTTTTCTTTTGTAGATAAGTGGTTAGGTATTACATATAGGGTTACATATAGTGGTCTGGTTACATATTATAATATAATTGATCAGATATAAAAATGTTAACTTTTAATTTTGATATTTGGTCACTATATTTTTAGCCCACATTGGTTTATCCAAAGTTAATAGACTCAAAAACTACTGGACCGTTTTCAATGAAATGTATACCAATAGATTTCTTTTGTTGATAGTTTATTCTTTCAATTCATATACCTAGGTAGCTCACAAAAAAATAATATATTTTTTTTTATTCATAGCAATTGGTCACATAATATTATATTATTACTACTGAAGGATCCCGCGCACTTCGTCGCCAGTAAAAAATTACAACATTTAAAAAAATTTTGATTGCTCAACTAACTCCTTTTGGGTGTAACTGAGCCTCCCTGGTAGGCAATCTTACTACGTTGGATCACGGACAATTTCCGTGAAAAATACTATACGGTATATTCTCAATTCTCATACCTACCAAACACCCAAAAAAAATGTATTACCTAGTTAATAAATATCAATTTTATATATACCAATTCATAACAGAAGAATCGCAATTCCTACCCAATACCCACGTTTTGGCCAATAAAAATCACCATAAAAATGTACGAACAATTTTTATCACAATTAACCATTCGTTGTGATAGGTTTATGTACAATTTATATTCTGGTTCACTCGTTATGCGACCTATCTCTGCCTACAAAATATGGGTCACGATGTAAACATACAAATTGAAAATTTCAAACTATTCATTCAAGTTGCCATGAACAGTTATTCATTTATAGCTCAGATTTGTAGACATTTACAAATATAAGGCAAACAAATATATTATGTTTCACGAAAGTGTGATTAATTATTTTAGACGGAGACGGCTAATAGTTGCGCTGGTGATGATGGTGCGACTTTACATACTTAACTTATTAAAATAAAAATATAGGTGTGTTGTAATTTGTACCGAGTATTACTAGTATAGAAATATCGATACGGAAATAAAATGTTTAAAAATACTGTAGCCGATTATTAGCGACCGACAACGACCCAACCTACATTTTGTATTTAATTTAATTTATATCGTGATATTTTCTGGTTTTGAAATTTGAAAACAAGTATTAGTACGCGGTTTAAAATATGTATATGAAGTACGCACGTGCACGATTTTGCACTTTGATTATAAATTTTAATTTACATATTCAAAATATCTCAAGCGAAGAGACGTTTCGTCCTAACACTACATAACGAGTTTGCAGCATGCATACCCACAGGCTTCTGGTATCTGTCAGTATCTGCAGTATGAATTCAATGTACACCTTACATGTAGAAATTGCTTATAATTTGCTGTTTTAAAAAACTAATAAAACAATAATAAAGCGAATATTAATTTAATATTCTGATTTTCTTTAGTTTTATAGTATAGGGGGTGCAGTCGTCCCGTAATCCACGAAAATAGAAGTTGAATTTTTTATGGTCAAACACAGTTTTGTATCGGCGTTTGTGCCTTTTCTCATCTCATTAGTATGAACATTTTATGTATGGAAAAAATAGGAATTTAGTATTTTAGTTTTTTAAGTCTATATAAGGGGTAACACAAGATTCCGCACAATATACCTTTTTATTTACCGGATTCCACACATTTTCATAATACAAAAGATTGTTTTATCCAACCAAATTGTAACAAGATTCCGCATTAAAATTGAGGTGGTTGCTTTTTATAAAATGTTCGTTTAAATTTCTATACCTATATTGTTATTTAAAAATAATAATAAAAACCGAATAATTTAGTTTTACTGGAAAGTGGACAGATCACTTAGATTTTCATTGTAATATTTTACCTACCTTACCATCATCATATCAGAAAAAAAATATTTTTGCAAACTACTCTATATTATATACTTGTACAGGTATACCTCTAAAATGATATATCTATTTTCCAACTATGTATTATATACAGAATGTAACAGATATAAGTATATAACTGACTTTTGGAATAACTTTTGTTCTAATTAATATTTTTAAATTTTTTTTATATGTAATTTATAGACACGTGCGCTACACGTGTAATAAAAAAAAAAATTATTTTTTAGTACTGAAAATAAATAATAAATTCAAAATAGCCAATTTCATTAATCTGATTATAAGAACGATTCGGATGGTAAAAATATTTATCTACTCAAGTAGTTTATTTTTTAGAATATTTTTAAAATATCAGTATTTTTTTAATTAAATTAATTTGGTAGGTACCTACGCAAGAACTTTTTTAAAAATATTATTTTTGGAAATTTGCTAACATAGGTATATTCCTTATACTATATTTACTATTCATATAATTTTAACAATTTTTGTTATGCGCTTAAGTAGCATCAATTTTTTTTTTTTTTTTTTGTGATCAGTTCTTCCTGTTACACCTGTATATAATATCGGTCTGAAGAAAAGTTTTTTGGCCCACCTATCCAGTTGTCAGAATACTTTTCAAAAATTTGAAATGACGCAATGAACGACGTATATGTATAAATGACGTATATGCAAAGTTATTGGTACGACTAAAAAAGTGCTCACATACCTATTAATAATTAATGTATATATTATATAGAATATGCAAATATTGTTTTCTAATTTTATCTGTACATGATTTTCTTTCGTATATTTCATTGCGCTATGATTTGACGATACAGGGAACAAGATTCAATGCAATGGGACTATGGGCGTGCCACCCTTGTCCCTAGCTGAGTTAGAATTCTCCAAGATCGACGAAGTAGACTTCTACCACGTGTCGTTGGTGGACGGCTTCAACTTGCCGATCAGGATTAGGCCTGACCCGTTTTCAGCGTCCATAATAAACGACACCAACTGCCAGCCAGCCGACTGTGTGGCCAACTTGAACAGAGGGTGTCCGGCCAAACTGGCTGTGAAGGCGGCCGATGGCGGCTCCAGCGTGGCTTGCAAGAGCGCCTGTACGCTGTTCAACACGAAGTCCGACTGCTGCCAAGGTGTGTACACCACCCCAAAGACCTGTAAGAGAAGCTCGTGGCCCAAAAACTATCCGGCATACTTCAAGTCAGCCTGTCCGTACGCCTACAGTTACCCATTCGACGACACGTCCAGCACGCATTCGTGTCAAGGCAATGCGTTAACCAAGTACCACGTTTTATTTTGCCCTTAAGCCTCTTATTATTTAGCTATATATATATATATATATGTTCAGGGTAGGCTATTTTCATGTTTTTATAAAAAAATTTAACTGTATAATATATTATATAAAATAAATGTAAATTGTATAAGAAAAAATCGAACTACCGTCTTGGGACTGTACACAGAAGTGAACATTTCTACTAATCAGTACATTTTTACAGAACTTGCCCACTCCCTGGTATATAGTTTATGTATAAGACACGTTTTAAGATAGAATGGTTGCCCATCAATTAAGAAAGCCAGTACACTGAATCTCACTTTTTTTTTTTATCAAAGTAGCGTCCCATGTGAGCAAAATAGTGTCGCTACTCGCGCGACTGTTCATATCGTTAAGTCTAATATTTTACCATATTGTCGATGGGCAACCATACTATCCTAAATCGTTTTATAAGATAGCCACTATTCACTGATGATGAACTACGATCGCTCAAACATTATATTTATATATAATGCATGTAGGTACTGTTGATGCATTGGATTGAAAGTGTTACATTTGTCAGTGCCGATGATTCTTTTATACATTTACTCCCATTAACGAGCGGATAGAAAGTACGAGCACACAAGTATATTCATATCATATATAGAGTGTATTTATAGTGTATACTGAATATGTACAAAGTTATTATATGATATGCATATATTATATAACATATAAGCATGGGTGGATAGGCCATTTTTGGTCTACCTGGAAATTATTAAAAGGGGCCCCCTTGCTCACATGAAAAAACAATAAGCTCACTTCGCTCGCAAGTACATTATTGGGTGGATTATATGAGCTACCATATCAAATGAAAACAATGTAGAACAAAACATATTTTTTAAATCTTTATTTATTTTTAATTTTTTAAATAATAACATTCTACCAAATACTGGGCTCCTATAGCTCCTAATTTATTAATGATGTCTTCAGAATCAATTTTGTTCAGAATATCTTTTAGATTATTTTCAGAATATTTGTGAGTTATTACCCACATTAGTTAGCCCCAACTCACAACTGTGATCACTACTCGCCGCCAACCGACGTACGAAATTATTATTGATAATTATTATTAAATATATAAATAATTCTTATTAGGGGAGCATTTCTTCCAAAATTTCTACGGCCTAGTGGAATGTAAAATAAATCTTTATTACAAGTATTACCAGGCAGGGATGCGAATGCTAAGTCGTTCCACTCGTTCCAGTATTCGAGGTACGTCGATGTTTCCATCAATCAATGCCTGAATAAAATGACAGCTAGAAATAATGTGACGTTCAGAATGTGGCTTGAATTTAAATATGTCATTGATGATCCTGAAATCGTGAGGAGGATGCGCTACATTGAGTCTGTGTCCTGCGAAGCGTATAAGAAGCGGTTTTGGACTCTGTCAAGTCTCTGAGTGTTACTAACCGTGTAAGGAGACCCCAGATAATAGCTCCGTACTCCAAAAGTCATCATACATGACTACATGAGAGTTGTAGAGTATAGAAAGGCGTTTTGGGTTATCAAAGTTTGAAAATACGTGTCTCCTAATAATGCCGAGAACACGTACCGCTTTACCAGCGACAAAGTCGATATGCGGACGAAAGTCTAGTGATGGAACATAAAGGAATCCGAGATCTTTAACTTGGTGAATGCGTTCAAGTGGTTGTCCGTGGATATATTATACATATCGATATCACATATTAATAATAATATATTAGTATACAATATACATAATATATAATATTAATAATATTTCTTTATTGCAGAAATAAATTAATACCTATATTTATAGTCTATATTATCAATATTCGCGGAGAGTTAAATATCAAGCACATAAACTAATGTATATATATATATATGCGAGGAACACGCTCACATATTATGATAATATTATCATATAAAATATATAATATTATAATATTGTGTACATAACGAGGTCACGTGATGATATATTTGAATACGAACAGTGCAGGTGGAACTGGTGACAACACAGAAACTCTTGACCCCCGTGAAAATGTATACCTCGTAATATGTACATCATACTTACTACTTATAAACCTATAGGTGTATACAATATACACCCACTCGGCGCAGATACATCGTCTTGTAAGTTGTAGGTAAGTATATACAGGGTTATTCACCAAGCATGCACACCCCATTTTAGATTCTGTGCTGAGAAAAGAATTTATTGACTTTACAATTTTGTGGGTTTTTTTTTAAATTTAATTTTGTGTCTCAATCATCAACTCTGAATGTGGTTTGGGGGGAGGGGGGGGTCAAATGTAAGTGTGTGTTTACAAAGACTCCGATATAAAATTAAAATTCAAATACATAATTTGTTTTTGATTTTACCACATACCTTTGAAAAACCTGTTACGGTAGAGGTTTGTTATAGCCCCGGGTGCTGGAAAATGTTATCATCCCACTACTATAATAATCTATACATAGAGGTACCTAAATAATCTAATGATTTGATGAAACTCAGAAGAAACGTTCTATTACTATAGATACCTTTTTATTTTATTACATAGGGTTTTTTTAAAAACCAGTAATTATAAACATTAAACGATGCGTCGTCATCAAAGTATCAAACAATCAAACGCCAAACGTGCTCGACCAGGTTAAACACCATATTTTTTTCCGACAGTTAGAAAACTTATGCTAATTTTTCACCACGTGGAATTAAACATAATATATTGTAATGATAGCCACTCTTTATAAATATACTATTCTAAAAAAAGTTTCATCATTATAACCCTAACATAATAATATAAATTAATATAATATAGTATTATGTATATACAGCCTGCACACAGATGTTTATATTATTATAATATGTGGTCATATATTATTATAAGTACCCTTTTATTTGTCGAATATACTGTTTCATCGGCTTGGACGATACCCATATCCACCATCGGTTCCATTCACACAACAGCACCTCCCTGCGTATGCCTTCGGTGGCAGTCATACGTGATGAGGGATATAATATATGTTCAATATAATATTTGTGTGTCTTAAATAATAAATGTTTTTTTTTAATATTCCTAATATATTAATTGTGTTCTTAATTAATACTAATAATTATAAGTAAATCAATATTAAACCTATTGCTTCATCCTTCGCTCGTCGAACACCTAACAAGTCTGCAGTCAAATTAGGGTAAGTTAATTTATTATATAATTAAATCCTCATAAATATACATATGTGCTTATCCGTTTACACACATATATACATATATACATATATAATATGGTGGTAATTTAGAGTCTGTGCGCAATATATATAAATAGTAAATAGTATTCAAGTAAAAAAGAGATAAATACGTATATATTGTATGCACATCCTATTTTCACATTACCACAAGTGGCGCCCAACGTGGGGCTCGAACCCATGACCCCGAGATTAAGAGTCACGTGCTCTTCCGACTGATAGATTTTAGATATGATAGCGTGGACGCTTGACTCGGGGGTAAAAACACACAAAATGTGCAGAGAACAGGGGCCAAATGAGGTAACGGAAATGACAAAAAACATCGAGGAAAATACCAATGCTAAATTATCCATTAGAAACAATTTTGAAAAATATAGCAGCATTTTAACATCCATTTTAATTTTAATTTTATTTGCATAATTATTATTATTTTCATACAAATTATAATAAATTATTAGGTGTTACTATTTTTATTTAAAAATATTATTATTGTATTAGTTATTACCTATATTTATAATTTTGTAGGATTATTAATAAATAAAATAATAAATTATTACTTATCACTTATATACAATTTATCATTATTATTATTATTGTTATTTTTTATATTGTTTATAGATTATAATTTATAGTTCGAAAAGAACTACACTATAAGGAAATTGTCTTGGTTAGAGGGAGAGAGTTCCATTCGTCTTCAACCTTGAGTTGTTCTTTAGTATAACAGTTTATTATTGTCGAATGGTTCACGTTGGTATATAAACAAGATGTGATATAAGATGCTACGTCATTACTAATACAGCTCGCAAATTCTGTCGACAGTTAACCACCTGTAACAATCCAGCGGTCTTATCTGTCGAGATGGACTTTACATTTTTATTATTTTTTGTTCAAATGGCTGCAGTCACTAAAGCACACATGTTTAGAATAACAAACAACTGCTCATTTACTGTATGGCCTGGCATACAAGGCAACCCCGGACACAAACATCTCGAAAATGGTGGATTTATGTTGGAACCTTACAGGACCCATTTAGTTATCTCGTCTCGAAATTGGACGGGCAGGATTTGGGGCAGGACCAATTGCAACAGTAAAGGAAAATGCGAAACGGGCGATTGCGGTAAGTCTATAAGGTCGATTTGTAATAGGCTTATTGCGATACGTTCGACCATTATTACAATCTTATTCGGAATACAGTAGTAGATAATATGTCTTAATCGGGTTAGGGTTATAACCATTATCGTAATTAGTAACTATTAACGACACAAATAAATAAATAATAAATATCTCAAATAGTTAATAAAATATTTCTATACAATTGAGAATATCACAATTTAAATAATATATAACTAGCTTATATGAACTAACTACAGTTTCATAATATGTTATTTATTATAGGCATAGGGTGATTGGCAATAAAGACAAATTGGAAAAGTTGGGCAATTTGGGAAAAACTGTAGGCCTTTTTTCCATGGGATTTTTTTAGATAAATGGTTGCCACAGGTTGCATATAATAATATAATTGATCTGATATAACAATTTTAACTTTTAATTTTGATAATAATTTTTGTCACTATATTTTAACCCACGTTGGTTTATCCTTATATTAATAGACTCAAAAACTACTGGACCGTTTTCAATACACATTTATACCAATAGATTCCTTGTAACTAAGAAGTAAGAGGGTGTTAATAGTTTATTTTTCAATCCCTATAACTATAGATAGCTAAAAGGTAGCTCACACATAATTTTTTGTTCAGGTCATGAAAAAAACAATATTTGTTTGCCTAATACATTCATAGGGTGAATATTGGTCACATATTATAATATGACTATAATAATATTAGGAGAAATATGGTGTATACGTTATTACGTTATAATATGTTTTACAAATATTTTGATAAAAAAAACCAAATCTTTTGCATGGGCAACGCTGCACTGAGCAGGACAGCTAGTACACCTATTATCTAGTTGATAAATATCAATTTTATATACCAATTCATAACCGAAGAATCACCATAACTGCCCGATACCCAAGTTTGGGTCAATAAAAAATATACCAACAGTTTTTATCACAATTGACCATTAATGTACAATTTATATTCTGGTTCACTCGTGTTGCGGTCTGTCCCTACCCAAAAAATGTGGCTCATGAAACAAATATAAAAATTTCAAATTTCAAATTACATCATCAGCTATGTTGCCATTAGCCGTTAAATTTAGGGCTAAAATGTGTTATATATTTTTGCGAAGCAAACACAATATATATTATGTTTCATGAAAATGTCGTAGTTGCTGGTGATGATAGCGTGACTTTCAATACTAAAAAACTTAACTAATTAAAATGAAAATATAGGTGTATTGTAATTTTAAGTATATTAGTATAACTAGTATAGAAATATTGATACGGAAATATAATGTTTAAAAATACTGTAGTTGATTGTGGCGATTGCCGATTAGCGACCGACAACGACCCGCGTGGGTATAGTGGCTACCAACACTTTGCATTTAATTTTAAAAATAAATTGGATCGTGATTTTATATGGTTTGGAATTTGAAAATTAGCATTAGAACGTGGTTTAAAGCATGTACGATTTACGCACGCGAAAAATGACGCTCTTTAATTTATTACAATATACATAAATACGTATGTATAGAATAGCTCAAACGAAAAGATGTTTCACGCTGCATAATACGTGTTTGCAACATATACATAGTACATATACCCACAGACGCTTAGTATCTGACAGCATCTGTATGAATTCAATGTAAGCCTTACACGTAACTATTGCTTAAAATGTCTGTTATAAAAAAAAATCAATAAAATAATAATATAATAAAAATAAAATTAATATTCTTGTTTTCTTTAATTTTATCGTAGGTATACAGGGTGTCCCGTGAGGATTTACCTATTAGCCGTAGAGGGGGACTCGCCGCCCGGACAAAAACCGGTTTTTTGCCGTTTTACTTATTAATTAAAAAAATTATTGAAAATCAGGAAATTAATGAAATTAAAATGTTGAAACGTCAATATTTTCAGAAAAATGAACTCTACAAAATGGCAATCTTCAATATTTTTTAAATAATTAATCAAAAAAATAATTTTTTTAACTTTTTTACCAAAACATAAAAAAAAATAAAAAATTTGTTATTTGTAGTGCTTACCTCTGTGAGTCTTAATAAGAAAACAGAATTACGATATATCTATTATTTCAGGAGATATCGCAATGAGTAAATCCTCACGGGACACCCTGTATAGGGTTTTGTACAGTCGTCCTGTAATCCACCAAAATGGAATTTTTATGGTTCAAACACAGTTTTGTACCGGCGTTTGTGCAATTGTACATCTTCTCCTTTTATTCGTATAAACATTATATACATATGGAAAAAACAGGAATTCCGTATTTTAGTTATGAAGTCTATATAAGGGGTAACACAGATTTCGCACAATATACATTTTTACCTACCCAATTCCGCATAAAAATTGTTGCGATGTAGACAGTTATGATAAAGAAAAAATATATAATAATATTAAATAAAACAAATAATTAAAAATAAAGTATATAGAATAGTTTATTTCAATAATATCCACAACTAGACTAATTTATGATAAACGTGAATAATATAGTAGTTTGATTTTTATGCATAAATAATTGTATATAATTTTAATTCAAATTCCATAATTGTTAAAGTAAAATTAATATTGCAAAAATATAGTAAAAATGAGTAAATATTTTGAACAGTTGTCACTTGTAAGGGAAATACAAATTGCATCTGCCGGAACATAGATAAATTGTTGATTTTTAAACGTGAAACAATCATCAATTTTTAAAATCCATAGTTGTTGTAAAGCATTATTTAATGATTTTGGAAGTACAGGAAAACGTTTTTTCCCTTACGTCTCTCTGACACAATAATATGAATTTCTAAATTATTCATTTCGAAGTTCGAACAGGTAACTGATGAGTCCAGATAATAAGTACACCGTAGACGATGATTGACTATTGATATAAGCTAGAATTTTTAATAAAACCAAAAAAATTTTATAATATGTCTAAAAATGATCATGTAATATTATTATCAACTATTTTTATGTTTAAAATTATTTTTAAAATACAATCGGCAACGTGGCAAAATATATTTGTGCGGAATTGTGTGAATGAAAAGGCATAATATGCGGAACCTAACCATTATTTTATAAACTGGTTATAGCGGTTTTTGGTTTTAATATTATTTTTGTATTACTAGGTAAAATTTAATTATTATTTTTTTTATTTTTATTTTTTATTAAAAATATATTTAATTACAATCTATACAACATCTGTACAATAAGTAATTTTGATTTAAGATATTTATACATAGCGAGACTGACAGATAAGGAAAGGGCACTCAGTAGTGCCACCCGATAGATTAAATTAGGAGATCTCTAGGCCAGAATCGTTTAAGACATCTCTGGGGGTTATCAGGGATTGTAAAAGAAGATAGGCGTTTTATTAATGGATTGTTCTGATGGATTAACTTAGAATGAAAGGAGACGTAGTGAGACTTAGTTATAGTTAGCCAGTTGGGAGAGCGGTGGATTATTTAGGTCTTTGTGGAGATTATTATTTGTGATGTACCATGGAGCAGAGACAATTTTCCGCAGATAGATTTACTGGAAGGCCTGAATTTTTCTCGTGTTGGAGGGTTTTTGAAGAGCCCCAAATCTGGATGGCGTAGGACCAAACAGGTCTGATGATGGCTTTGTATATTAGTTTTTATTTAAAATTATTTAAATTTATTTTACTAGACAGTAGAAAAATAGGTGTATACCTATTGTCATAGGCGCAATTTCAACTTTTGACTTGGGGGGGCTGAATATATTAAGGGCAAGTAGATCTGTGGGGGGCTATGCCCTCCACACCCCCCACCGTCACCATTCATATTATCTTACCTTATAATATTACTTCATAATCCAATTAAATTTTTTTTTCTTCATTATTACGGTCGACCTACCTCAATTTTCAAGTGGGGGTGTGACTTATAATAACATGATTTTAACAACATAGTAATACATTTATTAATTAATTTCAATATACCTATATATCAATCAATATAAACAAACAACAAATTATAATTGTAACCTTTTATTGGTCTTAGAATACTCAATTAGTATATCCTCAGCTTTAAGCTGATTTGATACTTCTCTTTCAATGTTTATTATTGCCAAACTGGAAAATCGCTCCTGGTCCATCGATGTGCGTAGCCAATTTTTAATTCTTCTCCTAGTGGAGAAAGAACGCTCAAACGTGGCTGAACTAACAGGAATTGAAAGAGCCACTTTCAACAAAGTGTATAAATTTGGATAAATTTCAGATTGTACCATTTCTTTTATTTTATCAAAATCAATCTGTGATTCTATGCTTGATCAAAGGACACAATTTTTTACCACCATCATATAGGCTATTGTTGTATTTTACTTGCCTTAACATCATAATATCAGTAAAAAAATCAATTTTTAAAAACTACTCTATATGTATATACAAATACTTATATAGGTATACCTTTCCAATGATATATCAATTTTCCCCTACTATATGTATACATGCAAAGTTATTGACACGACTAAAAAAGTGATCATGTATTATGTATATTGTGTACCTATATGTATAGAATATGCAAATATCATAGATATAATAGTATAATATTATATATGATTTTATTTCGTATATTTCATTTCACTATGATTTGATGATGCAGGAAGCAAGATTCAATGCAACGGGAATAGGGGCGTTCCACCCTTGTCCCTAGCTGAAATAGAGCTTTCCAAGGTCGACGAAGTGGACTTCTACTACGTGTCGTTGGTGGACGGTTTCAACTTGCCGATCAAGATTAGGCCTGTCCCGTTTTCAGATTCCATGAAAAACGACACCAACTGTCAGCTTGCCTACTGTTTTTCCAACCTGAACAGCAGGTGTCCGGCCAAACTGTCTGTCAAGGCGGCCAATGGCTTCAGTGTGGTGGCGTGCAAGAGCGCCTGCACGCTGTTCAACACGAAGTCTGATTGCTGCCAAGGCGTCTACACCACCCCAAAGACTTGTAATAGAAGCTCGTGGCCCAAAAACTATCCGGCATACTTCAAATCAGCCTGCCCGTACGCCTACAGTTACCCATTCGACGACACATCCAGCATACATACTTGTCAAGGAAATGCTAAAACCAAGTACCACGTCATATTTTGCCCTTAAACAACTTATTGTGTAGCTAGATGTTTGTATAGGTTCAGGTTAGGTGATTTAACATGATTTCTATAAATTATTTTAACTATATATTTTTATATTATATACAAATGAATGTAAATTATATAAGAATAAAATTAAAGGTATTTAGGTACGTAAGTGTATATAAAATAGTAAAATACTATTTTCAAAAAGTAACTATTCTTCCCTCTATGTACTTAGTATAGTTCAAAAATGACCACCATTAATTGATTCCATTAGACAATTTAAACCCAATTATCATATTATTATTATTATTATTATTATTATTATTTAAGTAGGTATACCTACATAAATCTATTACTAACCACTGTCCATTTTGCATCAGTCATTACTCATTATAGTTCAGAGGACGTTATGGTTTTACCCACGTGTGTTGTCTCCGTCTTCCTAAAACGCATAATGAATCAAATTATTCATTCAGAATAATTAATTTTACTCAAGCATTTTTTAATATTAGATTAAAATCTAGTTGTTAATATTGTTTTTACTTATTAATATTAGCAGTGCCGTAGACAGGAATTTTATATGGGGGGGGGGGTTTATTATAATAATAACATGTTATACCTAGTAAATGAAAAAAAAAAAATAACACATTATTTATATTTTTATATCTTTATTTTAGTGTCTTATAAGTTATAATATCAGATCTATTTTTCTTTTAGATTCTGAGTGAAACGATGAATGTATTGATTTTACAATGATGTGTGTTTTTTTTTTATTTTTTTGTTTTTTTTTGTGTCTGTCATCACGTTTTAGGACAGTAAAAGTGCTTGGATTTTCTTCAACAGTAGCTTTTCTGATAGGAAAGTGAATCTAGTTGGTACTTTATATAGTAAAAATAGTAGTTTTCACAAGCGCCGGGAAAAACAACATAAAAATTAAGGGAAAACGGGAATTTTTACGCAAAATCGGATTTCCAAAAAATCGATTTTGGTTTTTAGTGTAACTCTAAAACAAATAAACGTATATACATGCAATTTTCACTGGTTGTTTATATTTACATTTTCTATACACGATAACATTTTCAAAATATTTTGATTTATTTTGAACTGTTTAGGCACATTTTTATTTTCCATTTTTTTTCTAAAAATATCAATAAAATTTTATTTGTTGGTTGCGAAAGCTTGAAAATTTAAGAGAAGGCTCCTAGTATATTGTTTCAAAGGCAGATGAAAAATATTAAAAATCCTTAGTCACAATTTTTTTTTATAAGCATTTAAAGTTCAAAAATTGACAAAATATGGAAAAATCACGAAAATTAGCAAATTATTTTGAGTTAAGAATTCGTAAAAATTTTTCTTTTTAAATCTAAGATTTGAAAATGTAATACAAGATTCCTAATAAGATTATCTACATTTATCAAAAAAAAAATGTCTATAAGAAAGTCAAATTAAATTTTTATGAGCGTTTGAAATTCAAATTTTTACAACATTGGATATTCACTCGATTTCTCATGTAGCGATTTCCTTATTTTGTTGTAATACAAAAACGAATAACTGTAGATACATGAAAATTTCACTGAATGTTTATATTAGCATTTCCTATACACCATACAATTTTGAAAATATTTTGACTCTTTTTCAGCTGTTTGACTGATATTTCAAAGTCTAACATCTCAGCCAATCTCTATTTAAAAATATAATTATAGTTGAAAAAATGAACATTAAAATTGAATTTAAGGCATTCATTACTTGAGCTTCTTTGAACATTTTTTTAAATTAATGATCTACATTTTCCCTTAAATTGTCAAGAACCTTGATACTGATATTGGCCAAACTGATCATTTGTCTCAAATCTATGTTTTTTTTTAAGCACGGTTTTAACTTTTAAAGTTTTAACTATAATACTGATAATACCTAATTAATATGTTATCTTAAATTTCAGTATTATCAACATGAATATATAATAAGATTATAAATTATCACAGTAACAAAACGGTTATGGTAATGGTGATTTGTCATTGCGACCATTAGACGATACACAAAATACCTTACTTATAACCGATAACAACACAAACATCTAAAATATTATTAATAACTATTATTGATAAAAATTTTTTTTTAAATATATAAGATATATTAGTAGTTTTAAATATTTTAAATAAATTTATAAACTTTCCAAGGGGGGGGGGGGGTTTGAACCCCCTAAACCCCCCCGTGTCTACGGCCCTGAATATTAGAATTGATCTATTATTAAATGTAAAGGTAAATATATAGGGCCACCGAGGGTGTTTTATATTTAATTTTAATACAAGTTATGGTCATTTTTAATCTGTAGTACGTGCAATTTAAAATATGTGCCTATACGTATCAACAATTTTTTTTAAATTAACTTTAAGGACGAGTCAAAACGAATACCCAGACCCAGATAAAGCATTTTTATAATGTTCCTCCCTAGAAATATTTGTGTAAGCACCTCTTCCAGACAACTTTTCCAATTTTTTTTTCCGTAAAGATCTCATTTGGAATATTACAAACATAAAAAAAAAAATTGCTGAATTGGTCCAGTCATCTTTGAGTTATTCAGTTACCAATTGACAGCATTTCATTGTTATTATACAGAGTCCAGATTATAATACAATTCTAATTTCTGTTTATAAGTACATCTTAACATTAGGTTTATTTATATTAAGGTATATTATTGTTACAAAAAGAGATCTGATTATTTATTTTAGATGTAAAAAAGCACAATACAAGCAATTAGTATGTTTTTCTGTTCAAATTATAAACATTTAATTATCTTTCAAAGTTCAATTATTGTATTTTCTTATAGAATAATCTATATTGTTTAAATTGTACCTGTTTTATGTTATAATAATTACATTCATCAATATAATTTATATTGATCGATGGGATGTTAATTTCCTAAAAAATATTTATTAGTACTACTATAAAATTAATTTGTAGTAATTTTTCACAGCTTATAAAGGCGATATAATTTGTAAAATAGCATCCGTTTTTATTATTATTATTATTATTATTATTATTATTATTCAAATGTGCATGTCAAAATTTCGAAAAAATTATTTATAAATCGAGAAAATGCAATATTGTAATTATTTAGGCACCACCTAGCACTGGATTAGACACTGCCACCTAACCACGACGATAACAGAAAGGTATACACACAACGCTGATGTACCCAAATTGCCTACTCAGAACGCCGAGCAATCATCATTTTATTGGGAAAAAAAAATCTAAATATTCTAATGATAGTAATGAAAGCCTGGAGAGTACCTTTATAATTTAAAAAAAAAAAATCAAAAATATAATTAATACTTTTAAAAGATACGTGACATATCCAGTTTGATTTAAAATGTTTGATATGTTATTGTAATAATCACAGTATGGTTGGTTTCGCCCCAGACGAAAAAAAAATCGACCAGGTTCACGTTATTTTTTTCTTTTACGCATGTGTAATAGTGGTGTACCTATATTTTAATATAGAGATTCTTGTGGTAGTACTTAATAGGCATGTAAAATATTACAAACAATATTTCATATCTGATATTACAGGAAGCATGTCATTCGGAATCCGAACTCGTTATATTATATTATATAATGTTGTAAGGAGTATTTCTACAACGTGGAAGGATAATATTAAATACATTTTGTCAACACACGTCGACGTCCACCAACCAAACTATTTAGCCGTATGAAGGAAAAATGGGATGGTTTTTAATATGTTTATGAACTCACATTCAATTTAAAATTTATTTTGATTACAACAAATTTTTAAAGAGAATTAATTGTACCAATAATTTGTGAAGTTTATCTACTAGGCAGAGGCGTATTTACGGAGGAGTGTGTCCAAGGCACAAGAAGTCCGGGGGCAATGTAGCTGAAAATTCATTTTAATGCTTTGAAAATGTCATTGGGTGTAAAACATGTAATTATAGACCTAGATATAAAAATCAAGCATTATGCTTAATTTAACATTCTTGGCTAAGTGTAGGCGTACAGTGAGAATAGCCTTTATGAAAGATATTTAGAGAAATTAAGTGGATTCCTCGTCTCTCTGCTGGGATTTAAGGCTAGGCTCCTTTTTTCATTCACCATTTCACCACCAACGTAATGGATACCTATTAGGCGGTTGATGTCTCTCGCCAATGACGGTCTTTTTTAATGTCTGTTTATGAAACTTAATAGTTATGTTTATTTTATGTATAAGTTATTTTAAAACTTTCTAATTTTGTAATTATGTTATCAATATGTGTTACCGTAAAACTTTCTGACCGCAAATACGTTATTTATATTAGTGCATTGCACTCTTGTAAATAAGATTTCATGCCCGTATCTAAGTTAAAAATAAAATAAAATAACAAAACAATTATTTTTTTGATAAAAAAAAAACATGACTTACCTAATACAAATACTTTTACAATAGGTAAATTGAATTGTATAATTTTTACATATTTGTAAGAATACATTTATCATTTTAACCTATACTATAAATATATTATACTGCAACGGTATACAATGGATTACATTTTAGTGATTTACAATGACACAAGTATACTTGTGGACAAGTAAATTGCAGGTATAAGTTGTAAAATGATATATGTACATACAAGTGGTAAACATTTATAAGATTCTGTCATCAAAAAAAGTTTTTAAACAAAAATAAACTTTTTGTTTTTTATTTCAGGAAAAAAAATGTATAAGACTTAAAAAAATATTTTAGTACCTACAGTTCTAAAATGCCTATAATTTGTTTTAGAACTAAAGTATAAAAAACCTAAGTGCTCTAATTAGTATTCTTACGATCTTACCTTTACATATTTTATAACGATACATCAATTCACTCTAAAATTTAAAATTTAAAACAATTATAACAATAAATTCAATTTTTTTTAAATTCAAGATATTTAGGTTTGTTCTATATAAATAAAAAAAGGTGGGAAAGTAGAGACCAAAATAAAAACCCATATCATTGTAAAATCAATACATTTAACCAAAAAATCTAAAATGAACGAGAGAAATGGATTATTCTGAAATCTAAACGAACAATTTGCTTCGTAATGCGTTAGCGAGACGGATACAACACATTCGGATATAACCATAACGTCCATAACATCCTCATATGAAACTAGTAACTACTAATTAGTAAGATTTATTTAGATATTCTTAAATTGCATGCAGGGCTGGATCAAGGGGGGCTAGGGGGGCTATAGCCCCGGGCCGCAAGTTGAAAGGGGCCACAGTGTGTCAACTCATTTTTTTTCAAAACATTATTTAACTTATAAATTTTAAATTTATGTCATATTAAAATGGACATGGACTTTGATACTTCATTACCGACACACAAGACCCAATTATAGGATATAGGTATATTGGTCGTCGCTTCTTGCAACTCGTTATCGTCGTTATCGAACGGGTTTCCGGTCGATCCGTCAACACGGTAAATATAATCGGTTAAATTTATTTTTAAACCTAGTACATTACACGTTCGATGAACGACAAACACGTACTTTTGCAGCCCGTAGGTGCAGTACTGATTATGTTAGCTTAGACCACAGATTTCTATATATTACTAGATAGCGAACTCCGGTCATGAATTGAAGCTTCAAGGTCGGTTGGCAATTGTATGGTATTTCATATGACAAATAAGATGATATTATGATTTATTTTATATCGTATTTTATTATTTTTAAACATTTAGTTTACAAAAAAAAAAAATATTTTATATAAGTCATTTTACATTTACTATTTTATTTGACCGTTAAAAAAAATATTATTCCTAATACATTTTGTATAATAAATGAAATGTTTTGCCAACCGACAAAATGGCGGCCGTTCACAGCTGAGCTCCATTTGTAACAATGTAAATTGTATAAGAGTTCCTTATCTAGTGTAGTATAGAAGTCTGTGGCTTAGACCCAAGGTGTATTGATAGGTATCAATACACCTTGCTTAGACCGCAGACGCTAGATTGAGATTTCCGATTGTTTATTATTTTATTATTATATAATATTTAAAGCTCCTTTTAAAACGTTATACATTTATTGAATTTATCTATCAAGTGTGATTTAATAATCATTGTTTTAGGTGAAAAGGACTCAATAAAAGTAATAGCCACCCTTAAATTATGACCATAATCCGGCCCTGAATATGAATGTGAACATCGATTTTCAAATTTTCTAAAATAATCATTTAATGATGGACATCTTCGAGCAATAATAAGATATAGAGGGAAAGAAGTTGATTTTCGAAAATGGTATTCTATATAATAACTGTTGGTAAGAATACTATATACCTACCTTTATTTTTATTCTTACACAATAAACTTTTATTTCTATATGAATATATAATAATTTATAAAAAATGTGATGAAGAACCTACAATGAACCTATAATATAGACATAATATAGCTACACACAATCATTGGCTTAAGGGCAAAATACAATGTCGAACTTGGTTAACGGATTGCCTCGACACGTAAACGTGCTAGTCGTGTTGTCGAACGGGTAACTGTAGGAGTACGGACAGGCTTCCTTAAAGAATGGCGGATAGTTTTGGGGCCACGAGCTGCTCTTACAAGTGGCTGGAGTGGTGTAAACACCTTGGCAGCAATCACTGTCCGTGTTAAACAGCGCACAGGCGCTCTTGCACGCTACCACGCTTGAGCCATCGGCCGCCTTGACGGCCAGTTTGTCCGGACACTTGCTGTTCAGGTCGGCAACGCAGTCAGCCGGCTTGCAGTCGGTGCTTTTTTTCGATGGATACTTGTTCGGCATAATCCTGATCGGCAGGTTGAATCCGTCAACCAGCGACACGTGGTAGAAGTCAATGTTGTCGGACTCGGCAAACTGTATCTCGGCTAGAGTCAAGGGTGGCACGCCCAAGGTCCCGTTGCATTGGATCTTGTTCCCTGCGTCATCAAATAGTATTGCAATTAAATAAACGATACAAATTCACATACGTATAGTATAAGAAAACAATAATATGTGCATATTATATTATATACCTACATTAATACACAATCACTTTTTTAGTCGTACCAATATTACTCTTCCTATAATATGCATATACCTATAATAGTAGATAAAAGAAAATACCTATATCATTAAAAAATTATTATATAGTAGATTCACATAATTTTTTTTTTGGGGGGGGGGAGTGGCCGAGCGGACTGAGGCATTGGTTGCGACGCACACCGACGCCGGTTCGATACCTCGGCCATGGGAGGCATTTTTCTTTGAGCAAGTCACGGTGTCCGGAGAACAAGTGCCGCCATCCCGCGCCCGGACATGGCAGATACCTAAGGGTGCCCAAATCAAAAATTCTGCCAAAAACAAACACTGAAACACACGCGTGTTCTAACCTACAATTTCCTCCCCTACAAACAAAAACAAACAGCTAATGGCCAATGGCCATAGTTGCCGGGCTCCACGATCATAAAAAAAAAATGTTTTTCCTTATATGATGTTGTTAAGGCAGGTAAAATAGGACAATAGGAATACCTTTCTGACCAATAAGTCGATAATTTAAAAAAATATATAATATTATTATACCAGGTAATACGAAATATAAACGTCACAGTAGATTTTGTGTTAATTTTACCCAGAGATTAATAATTGAAGATCACATTGATGCTCCACTTTTATTATAGAGAATTAACGGATTAAAACATTCGGGTTTCGGTTAACACCAGGCTCCAAGAGCCTTTTCATTATCCAGAGGGTCGGTCCAACTTTGCTAATAACAACCCTATTATAAGAATGATGACCTTAATCAATATTAATCATCAACCATTACCTAGTACTAAGGTCATAGAGGTGGACTGGCTATGGTCACCGCCTGGGCCTGTCGAAAATTTGGGCTGCTTGAATAAATTTGGGCCAATAACTTATAAATAGTTTATTATTGGCCCAACATTTTTTCAATGTAGCTACTGATATAACTTTTATTGAAATCAATCCAGTAGTTTTTGAGTCTATAAAATACAGACAGACCAACGTTCAACATTTAGCTGTATAAACTGACGTCGCTCGTGAAAAAAATTAACAATAATAAAATACAGCACTATACCTAGCTATAGCTATATCTGGATTCAAAAATCTTCATCGGCGTCCCTCGCTCTGTGAACTATAATACTACCGAGATGGACAATTTGCCTGTGGCAGATTAGCAATTAATATATTTTTGAACGTATAGTGGTTCAAACTACTCTTAAACTTTCCTGATATCATTAAAAAATTTTAAAATCCGAATATTGGAAAATCCTTAGTGGCCGCTTACATGATATGATACGAAGATACCATGACAATTTCAAATCTTATTAGCTATCAAAGTTTGATACTTTGAGTCTGGGATCTGGTTCCGAAAAATATTCGGACGTTCTTATTTAAAACCAGAAGAAGTTTTTAATTGTTTTATAGAATATTTTATGGCACAATTCCCATAGGCTATAATGATCCAAAAATCTTGACAATTCGTGATTATTTAACTAAAAATTACATTGATGAGTTGTCGAGATTTCCGACAAATGTTTGGGCCTCTTTTTCAACCACAAACAGTTCTGAATCTTTTTAGTCTTTATGCAAAACGTTTTTCTTTGTTTACAAAATCACACCAAATATGTTATATGTATTTATTCGTACAAGCCATATACATAAGAATTAAGAATTCAAATAGATACATACATAATTCTCAGATCAACTCACCAAAAAAAAAAAATTTGTATGATCACAAAATAATAGTCTAATACATTCAGGAGGTACCTACATATATTATTAGTCCACAATTTAAGAATACAAGTTAGCTTTATCAAATATCTTATTATTATTGGCAATAAATAAAAACGTTGATTACATGGCCGTACGAAATTGAAATAAACATATTATTATAATTCGTGATGGTACGAAGTAGGTATGCTGAACCGGTATACCATCACAGACGTATTTGAAGGAAAACAAGCGTCATACGTGGCCAGCAGTAATAGCGATGTGTCTAGACTCTATTGAGCACGGATTATTATGCACTAAAGAAATCGTAAAAATATGCAATAAAAAATAAAAAAGTGTTTAAGTGGATGTCGCCCTGCTGTACAGTAGGTTACAAGTGGGTCACTGTAATGGATGGTGTAAAATTTGAATACAATATTATAATATCATTGTATAAGAAAAACGATTCGCACCGGAAACGGTCAGTCAGCCTATGATATTACTAAGTATATTTGATGATATGATTGTGAATAAAGTAATTTATATATAACCTATTTGAGCGGAACCATGTTTTAAATTTTAATCCTCAGCTATAAAAGTTGGACATTTTATACATTTTTAACAATAAAATAGTTATTAAATTTTGTCAAAATTCAAACTTAAAATGCTTATAAAAAAAAATTGTGACTAAGGATTTTTAATATTTTTCAACTGCTATTGTAACTATATATCAGAAGCCTTGAGTTAAATCATCACGCTTTTTTAAGATATTGAAGTTGGAAATCGAAGCATTATTTTGACCACTTATCGTGTAGACAGACACGAAAAAAAATTAAAAAAACATACTTCATTGTAAAATCAATACATTCATCGTTTCACTCAGAATCTAAAATAGTTATTAAAATTTACAAATGTACGCAATTAAATAATAATGGTTGAATAATATTTTTTTTAATAATAATTTAAAATAAATTTAACATTTTAACGAGAACATAAGTTAGGTAGGTACCTAGTTTAAAGCAAATTTTTTTTTGTAAAATTGTCTGACAAGATTATAAACTAGATTCAAGAAAGTTATCTATTCCTGTTAAAAATATAAATTTTACATGAGTTACCGAAAAACGATAGGTTCGTAGTCGATAAAATGTATTATTACAATGGTCCCGGTTATTACCACCGAACAATTACGAAAAACCTCTAAAAACGGGAATTTTATTTAATTTTACTTGGTTTATCACTACAGAAAAGAATAAAAAGTAATAATATTAATTCAACTTACAGGCTATAATAAATAATAACAATATATCCAGACTGACAAACCAAATTCGTTTTTCTTATAAACTATAATATTATATCATTGAATTCATGTTTAATACAATCCATTATATACATTGGTCATTGACCCACTATAACTTACTATACAGCAGAGCGAAATCCACTCACCCGCTTTTTAAGATTTAAGATTCTAATTATTTATATAAAAGGTACCAATTAGTACTTTTAAGTTATAAGTAATGAGTACTGGGAGGAAGACCCTAACCCGATTAAGACATATCTGCTACAGCTAGTCTTCCGAATAATATCGAAGGGGTCGATACATCGCAATAAGCACTTTGCGAATCGACCTTATGTACTCCCATATCTACCATGGACTTACCGCAATCGCCTGTTTCGCATTTTCCTTCACTGTCACAATTAGTCCTACCCCAAATTCTGCCTGCCCAAGTTCGAGGCGAGAGAATGAAATGGGTCTTGTAAGCGTCCACCGAAAATCCACCGTTTTCGAGATGTTGCTGTCCTGTGTTCCCTTGTATGCCGGGCCATACAGTAAACGGGCAGTTGTTTGTAACTCTAATCATGTGTGCCATAGTGACTCCAGCCATTTGAACAAAAAACAATACAAATTTAAAGTTCATCTCGGGAGTTGAGTCAGCTCGGGATTGTGATAGGTAGGTATACTGTAGTGTATCGGCGGTAACTGGCGTCTGAATTTGAGAGCTGTATTAGCAATGACGTCGAATCTTGTTTATACACCAACGTGAACTGTTCAATAAAAATAATTTCCTCTATAAAGGAACATCTCAAGGTTATGGATGAATGATGAACATCTTTCTCTTACTAATAAGAATATCAAGACAGTGTTGTTCTTTCGCACCATGGTCACATAGACCTTATACTTAAAAAATAATAAAAAATAGTACCTACGTATTAGTGATAGGTAGGTAATAATTATTTTATTTTTTCCATTTAAAACTTACGAAAATAATAAATATAGGTAAGTAATCATAATATATATATATATAAATAAATCAATATACCTAATAATATATTATAATTTGTACAATATAAATGACAACAATGCAAACAAAACTATTCAAATATTTTGATTTGTCTTGAGCTGCAGTTTACTGATATTTTTAGTTTCCAATTTTTTAATTTTTTTCCTTATGGGAAAATATATTAATCATAGAAACTTGAAACACAACACTATTGCTTAAATTAATATTATAGGTAATAATTAAATATTATATAGATAGTATATAATATAGTATTATATGACATTTATTTTGGGTGAAAATTAGATCAACCTACCGTTAGTAATGGAAATATAAATATAAAGATTATAACCAGTATAGGTACCTACCTATTATATAGATTTATGGTACCTACTGATAAAGCTGGTTTTGTTGCCAATTTCGTCATAAGGCAATTTTTGAAGACAACAATTTATTGGTTTTTTTTTATACATAGCTGGTTTTGAGATTGACTTGGTGATATAGGTGGTTTTAAACTTAATAACATCAAAACTAATAACTTAATTTTACTTCACGCACATTCCTTGGACAATATTAAAACTTGATTTTATAAAAGAAATGAATACATTGAAAAAAACGGTATATAGTAGGTACTATTATCAGAGCGTAAATGTTTACCCATCTATTTTATATTTTTATCATATCCTAATTGAAAAAAAAAAATTTGATGATGACTTGTTTTGAAATAAACATAGTCTGATGCATGTCCAATTAGATGGCCATGATCAGATGGTTTATATTAAAATCAACCACGATTTTCCATGATCAGCTTGGACAAGTTCATGACGCTAATACGATAGGTACTTATGATTTATGAAGAAGGTTCTGCGACGATTACATCGTTCACCTGTAGTTATAGCCTTGTTAGTTGTTTGATGTTAAATAATTTTACATGTGGTACAGTACTACAGTGTGACCATTTAAAAAATATCGAGAGTTATTTATACCTATATAATTCGTTCAATCGGTTATTTCATATGGGATAGAGATAGGGAAGATGCTTACAATGTCCATTTAAACTAAGTTAAAAGCATTATGAATATAAGACAATAAACAATTAGATTTTTTTTTTAACTAAGTACTTAACATAGTTTTACAAATACGGATTTTCATATAAGGTTTTTAATTTTTATTTAATGTACTACATTTTGATAAATTACTTACCAAATGTACCTACCTACCCTATTGACTGTATCTTATAAACATAAAAATCATTTTCCTACTTGTTGTCATAAGTAGAGATAATACTAGACTCAAAAAAAGTATCAATATAAATGTGCCAACTTGCAATAAGCATTTAGGTACCACGATTAAAAATAATTTAATCAGTATCTGTTAATTTGTCTATTTACCTACCATATAACCATTGTACAAATGTTTAGGTATCACGCTACTAGTATTTAACAATATTCATCACTGACCAAATTACATTTATTTTCCTTATAACTTTATTGACTAATATTACTATATCTATAACTCTATAATCTAAATTCTAATTTTGAAACAAACATTTTTTTGAGCCTTAGTTGTTTAAATAGTTAATAGTGCCTTTTGTTACATGGTATCGGTATGTATTATGTATTGTGTAACAAATATAATAAAGTTTAATTTCGGATTTGAACGTGGACCGTGGGAAGTACATACTAGGTTATCAAATATCTGTAGCGGCAAACAAAGCAATATAGGCTAAATATTACCATAGAACAATATATTACAAACTAATAATTACATTAAACGGTCTGCAGGCTATTGTATTAATTGTACATTTATCATTTGCATGTTTATTAAAAATCATAGTAATTTCATAATTCTTGTCACGTGCCATTACGCCGAGAACGTATACCTAATACCTACAAAATATGGGATCCTACGGGACCCTATTACTGGGCGGCCCGCTTTTCGGCCACTGTCCCTTTTTGGCCAGAACCAGCATACAGTTTTCTTTAAAATGAACAATTACAACAACTAAACTTAACAATTTTTTGGTAATTTAAACAAAAAAGTAACACTGGCCGAAAATGAAAGGGTACATTTTGGCCGAAAACGGTGACGCCCCTATTACTAAGGCTCCGGCCTGTATCTCATGAACCATGAAAGTTAGAAAGTTGAAATATTCACAGATTATGTATTTCTGTTGCCACTATAATAACAAATACTAAAGATCCTAGAATATATAATAGAAGAAGTGTTGCCACTTGCCAACATATTTATGGATGATGGTACGGAACCCTTCGTGAGCGAGCCCGACTCTCACTTGGCCGGGTTTTTTTTTCTTTCTAAAAAATATTGTTTTGTGAATTGTGGGACTTTGTTCATATAATCATATTATTATGTATTCTAAAATAAAAGCGTTTGCCACCGGTCCACAGAGTGCAAGCACTGAAAGCGCATGGCTCCACCCCCATGCAGTAAGAGGGGTGATAAAATGTATCTGATTTGAATTGAGAAACATATCGAAATTTATATTTCAAAATCAAATATGTGATAATCGGGGATAAACGCATGAAACATTCGGGTTGTGAGGTTTGAAAAAATTGTATACCTAACCTTAGTATTGTTGTTGTTGTACCTATCGGCTATCATCACCTATATCAGGCAACACGGTCGCGGCGAAAATTTAATGTCATTGTAATGAATGTACCTAATGTAATCGGCATTTAATGTCCTAGACCCCATTCTGATTTGGCCAGATATAGGAAATGTCGCATTTTTTTTAACTACAAATATTGTACTGTACTTTATAGCCAGCTTATTATTACTTTGATTTAAGGGCCAAGGGGATTCGATACCATGATTTTCTGACACACGCGCGACATAGTATTTTAGAAGTGTATTTTGCCAAACATACCAATTGATCTAATGAAACGATAAGAATTCTGAAAACAGATTTGAATTTGTAGTCAAGTCTACTTGAAATCGACTTCCCACATTTTGATATTATCCCCCAAATTTTTTAAAATGTCATATTCAAAAAGAGTATTTAAAAATTCTGTTATTTCAATTTTTGGAGAAGTTAAATCAAAAATGTGGGAAAGTCGATTTCAAGTAGACTTGACGACAAATTCAATATTGCCTTATTGTAGTTTTTAAATATCGTTAAAACTAATAAATGGCACCTTTTTATTGTTTTGTAATTCAAATTCTACTATTGTTGTAACTTATACTACGTATAACACCCTCTAACTGCCTGTCGTACTTATATAATAATCATTAAAAAATCATTTTAAAAATTAGTACTATTGGTATTTTATTGAAGAATATTTATTTCATGATGTACTTCTTACTATATATTTACTATTATTTTTCTTTTTTATAATATTTGTACCTATACATATGTAATTTATCAGATTAGTGAAGTCATATCATTGAAACTTTAATTATCTGGTAATTTTGGGATTTACTTATATGTTACCAATTTTGATCTATCTTGAATATAGAAAGCAAGTACCATACTATAAAGAAATATATAGGTAAATAATGTATATCTGCTCTTGATCAAACATTTATAAAATCAGAAATGTGTACTTATTAAATTTGACTGATAGTACATTGTAACCGTTAATAACATTTTCGTAGACTCTAAATATTATACGAGAATTGTTTGCCTATCGACATAAAACGCGAATATATGAAGTTAGTCAATAATACTAGTGTATCTATTATTAATATAAATTTTGGCTTTTACACGACCTACATATTGCCTATTATTGCTAGTTATTGATTTCAAAAGTTGGCGGTAAAAATTCAATATTATTTTGTGATAAGCATTATATTTTGTGATAACAGTGTAGTGACGCCATATTTTAATAATTTGTGATTTTTCCTGCGAAGATCCATTCGTGTAAACATTGCCAAAATCACAAATGGCATCGGGCATCATAATTTACTACCATACCATGGCTAAATATATTTAGCCATGTACCATACTATATACCATACTTCTATTATTGTTCTGTGGTAGTATGTTCTATGGTAGTATACCGGTATTTGAAAATAATTAGTTTGGTAAACCTGATTGATAAGCAGTTTTAGTTATAAAAATTGATAATAATTTGTTTGGTCTTTCCCTAGCCGCCTGCCGCCTGGCGCCTTGACGAAGTTTCGTTATTTTCGAAGGAACGGTTTGCTAACGAAGTAACGTGTGTTTTTAGCATTGTAGTAACTATAAAAATTAACATTTATTTCTCTAATATATTGTTAAATCATATAATTTTCTTTAACTAAATTGTTTGTAAAAACTTGTAATAAGTAAAGTTAAATCTGGGAATTAATCCAGATACAAATTATTTCTTCACTAATTTAAACGTTTTCTACGGTTAGTTTGAGATTTATACATAATAGCTATTAAATATGTATTGTACAATTAATATTTATAATTTTTTCATAGATGGAAATTTCAACTAATAATATAAATAATTTGGTGAAATGCCTCCAAGCCACATTAAGTCCTGATCCAAGTGAACGCAAACAAGGTTAGAATAATTGACATTATTTAATTGTAATTATGTGTAACAATTAATATTATAACTAAATATCTATTATGTTTATTTTGTAGCTGAAAACTTCTTACTTTCAATTGAATGTAATAAAAATTATCCATTATTATTACTTCACATTATCAGTGCACCGAATGATGTGAATGTGGATTTGGTCAAGCAAATTGGATCAGTTACTTTTAAGAACTATATAAAACGAAATTGGCTTATCGTAAGTATATTATTTATTAATTATTACATATTAAAAATGTTAAAAAAAAAACAAAAATCATTATCTTTTTTTCAATTTTGATAATTGCAAGACATATATTTATAATTATTATCTATAATTAAATTATTTGTTGAACTTATACATCCAAACTAATCTAAAAACTACTCGAAATTAAGGCATAAAGTTTCTATAGTCATAGACTATAATTCACTGATTAAAACAATTACATAACAAGCTGTTATTTCAAATTTTACCTGACAACCTCCATTAGCCCATCATAAGTTGTTAAAGCATAGTTCATGGGATCACTTTTATAATAAGTAAGAAGTGGCTAACTAATCGTTTATTTATCATATTAATCCATTGATGACACTATCTTCCTAATGTACATTTTTTTATTTATTTAGAAAGTAAAATTATATTTTAATTTTTAGGTGTTATTTTGATTGTTATTATAACTTGTTCCTAGATCTATAGAAAATAAAATAAAGATAACATTCATCATTTATAATTTAGGAATGATTTTTCTGTTTTAAGGCATTCAATTTAATTAAAGGATTGATAGTCCCAGTTAATGACAAGTTGTATTTTGTTACTTTGATTTACCAAAATAATATTTTTATTTTTTTAGGATGAAGACACATTGCAAAGCAAAATTCATCAAGAAGATCGCTTATTAATAAAAGAACAGATTGTGACTGTTATGTTGAATGCTCCAGATGCTGTTCAGAAGCAGTTAAGTGATGCTATTTCACTTATAGGAAAATATGATTTCCCAGATAATTGGCCAAATTTATTGACAACAATTATTGAAAACTTTGCTGCATTTGCTAGTATGTATTCAATATTTTGATAATATACTTTTGTTATTTATATTAAAAGATGTAATATTGTGATGTGTTATAGATGCACCAACCAGTGATCTAGCACCTATCAATGGAGCATTAGAGACAGCGCATTCATTGTTTAGAAAATATAGATTTGAGCTTAAATCTCAGAAGCTTTGGACAGAAATAAAATTTGTGTTAGACACCTTAGCTAAACCTCTTACTGAATTATTTGTTGTAAGTTTGTTAAGAACTTTAAATGAAAGTCGGTTTTTTAATGTATCAAACAAAAGATGAGTTTTTTTTGTTATTACTTATTAATATTAGAAATTTGTTCTTAGCTTACTATGAATTTATGTGAAGTGTCAAAGGATCCTAAAGTTTTTAATGTAATACTTGTACTGACTAAAATATTTTATTCGTTAAATTATCAGGTAAAAGAACATATTATTATTTTTATTTGTTGATAATTATAAATTTTTTAATTATTTTATTATTAGGATCTTCCAGAATTTTTTGAGGATAATATGCAAATTTGGATTAGTAATTTCCAAAAATTGCTAGAATTAGAAATTAAAGAATTAGAAACTCAGGTAATTTTTACCATAGCACATTTGTATAACTGTTTTATATCTATCTATTTTTAAAGAGCGATGACGAAACTGGTATACTGCATCAAATTCAATCACAAATTTGTGAAAACATATCGTTATATGCACAAAAATATGAAGAAGAGTTTTCATCTTATATGCGATCATTAGTTACAGTTATTTGGACATTATTGATTAAAACTGGATCACAACCAAAATATGACACAGTAAATTTTTGTTATTTTTTTTTGAAATTTTACTGCTATTGTTATTTTATTTAAAAAAAATATTTTCATTTATTTAGCTTGTTATAAATGCCTTGCAATTTTTGTCAACAACTGTTATCAAGCCTCAGTATCGCGATCTCTTTGATGATCCATCAGTTTTCTCAGCTATTTGTGAAAAAGTTGCTATTCCTAATATGCAATTTAAAGGTATGCAAAATATGTCAATTACATTTTTTTTTTTTTTTATTGAATACATACAGTACCAGAAACAATTATTTTTACGTTTTAATATATATATAGTTTTATTTATTTTTTATTAATTAGTCCATGTTTTACTGTAGCATCAGATGAGGAATTATTTGAGGACAATCCAGAAGAATATATTCGAAGAGACATTGAAGGATCTGATGTGGATACTAGAAGAAGAGCTGCGTGTGATTTAGTTAAAGCACTTTCAAAGGAGTTTGAACAAGTTACTATGTCTTCATTTGGTTTATATGTGAAAGTAAGATTATTTAGTTCTATTTAAATTATATATAAATAAAAAAAAAAAAACGTCACAGGCGACCCTCAGAAGATGTGAAAACAATAACAAATATATGAGCTTAGAAATATAGATTTATCATGTTGAATTTTAAGTAAATGTTCTTTATTAAATAATTAAGTCCCAGGTCATTTAAAAAAAAAAAAAATCATAATAGGCAGGTGCTCTACATATTATAATAGTTAGGTACATATTTACAAGCATATCCATAAAAGTGACAAACAAATTGAAAAAAAAAATACCTCCATTGAAAATTCGCTCGGCGTTAATTCTGATCTCGATCTACCTCCAAGGTTGACGCCCAAATTAGATTATTAGCAAAAGAATTTTTGGTGTTTGTCGAAAAAATTTGAAAAACCAGTAGAACTTCAGAAATTATTTTTAATAATGTAATAGATATCGAGCGTTACATATCGAGCGTATCGAAGGATTTTAACGCTGTATAAGATGTTTTCACATTAAAAACACATTTGTAAATTAAGATTTATTATTTTTATTTTAGTCCATGTTGGAGCAATATGCAGTTAATGAACAAAATTGGCGTAGTAAAGATGCTGCAATGTTTTTGGTAACAACACTTGCATCAAGAGGAAGTACTCAACGTCATGGTACAACTAAAATTAGTGAACTTGTTAATATAGAAGAGTTTACTACTTTGCATGTATTACCTGAACTAACAAAACCAAATAGTAAGTACTCAGTACACAGTGCCTTAATAAATATAAATATTTATATTATTCAGTGTTTTAAATGTATCTATGTTTTATGTCTTTAGTTAATGGTATGCCTGTTATGAAAGCTGATGCAATTAAATATATAGTGACGTTCCGTAGTGTATTACCTCCTCATCTTATTGTTAGCACATTACCTGCACTTACAAAGCTTTTAGAAGCTGAGAGTGTAGTTGTTAGAATTTATGCTGCAGCTGCAATTGATAAAATTTTACTTTTGAAACAACCTGACACTAAAACTCCAGTGTTAGTATTTTATAAATTAATATTCTTATGACTTACGTTAATTATTATAATAAACTTAATTTATCTTCAGAATATAAAAACCCAGTTAAATATTGTTTTGTTTATTTAATATTTAGGATTGATGCAGCCACATTAACTCCTTTTGCAGAACAACTAATAAAATCTCTCTTTGGAATTTTAACAAAACCCGGTTCGGAAGAAAATAGCCACACAATGAAAGGTAAAATTAACATTTTTTTTTTATTAATCTTTGATAATCGTGATATTATTGTGTATTGTAAATTTTTTTTTATGTATTCATAGCTATAATGAGAACATTTTTCACACTGAAACAACAAATAATTCCTCTTTTGGCTGAACTTTTACCTGTCCTGACTGACAAACTTACTATTGTTGCTCGTAATCCTAGTCAACCAGAATTCAATCATTTTCTCTTTGAAACCATTTCATTTTGTGTAAAGTAAGTTTAATTTCAAAATAGATAATAAATAGCATTCTTAATATTAATTATTTTTTTTTGAATGTATATTATTTGTGCATGTATGTTATATAATATTTGTTTGTCTTATATTAGACTAGTATGCACTGTAACACCCGAAGGAGTTGGTTCATTTGAAGGAGTATTGTTTCCTATATTTCAAATAATATTGCAGCAAGACATTTTGGGTATGATTTTACAGTTTTTTTTTTCAATTGTATACCCTAACATTGGTTTTATTCAATTTTATAGAATTTATGCCATATACATTCCAATTGTTGGCTCAGTTACTTGAATTCCACAGTCCCGGCAATGTGGGTGACACTTATACTATATTATATCCATTTTTATTGACACCAGTGCTGTGGGAGAAAACCAGTAATATTCATCCATTAGTTAGGCTCTTAAGATCATATGTGCGTAAAACTTCCCCAGAAAATTTTGAGAAATCTTTAAACCTGGTAAGTGTTTAAAATTGTGTCTTTGGAAAATTATTAATCTATAAAAAAAATTTAGAATGGACTTTTAGGTGTGTTCCAAAAACTTATTGCATCAAAATCACAGGATCAAGAAGGATTCAGATTACTGAAAACAATAATAGAGCATTGTCCTATGTTAGTAAACGCATCAATATTTTTACATTTTATTTAATTTTAACTCAATTAATTAATTTCAGGGAAGTATTACAATCGCAGATGAAAAATATATTTGTTCTTTTGTTTCAACGACTAACTTCATCTAAAACTACCAAATTTATACGAGAACTTATTGTGTTTATATTCTTCTGTGTCATAAAATATGGAGCATCATTTATGGTGGATCTCATAGATTCAATTCAAAATGGGTTGGTATTTACTATTTTTATTTTGTTAATTGTATCTTTAATAATAATCATGTGAAATTATTAATGGTATAAACCTTATATATTTTAGTATGTTTGGTATGCTGTTGGAGAAAATCATGTTACCTGATGTTCAAAAAGTAACTGGAAATATTAATAAAAAAATCACTGCAGTTGGCATCATAAAGGTACTTACAGACACTCAAAAGCTAATTGATGGACCTTACGCACAATTTTGGTATGTTCTTTTTCCAAAATATGGTAAAATAAATGTTAATTTAGTACTGTACTTTTATTAGTATCTATTATCTAAACTTCTAAAATGAAAAGATTTTGTTTTTTGTTAAAATAATTTACTAATTAAATTAGGTGTTACAAAATAAATTGTTTGTTTTAAGATTTGTTAATCTGGTAACCATAAGGTAAGGGATTAGAACTAAAGATTTAACAAATTAAATGGTGAGGCATGAGTTTTTGGGTCAGGAAGACTTTTGAAAAAGAATCAAGCATAATGAAAATATTATTGATACTCTTATATTTTAGACAACATCAAATACAACAACAACACTACATGATAAATAAACAAACTGTAAATTAAAAACCAGCCATGATAACGAGTTTGTCTTAGTTGATGATGTGACAACCCGTTTGCGACGACTATTGAAAAATAAATTAAAACTGGAATATGATCGGCTAGACATGTCTCTAAGTGCAACGATAACCCCCACTCACTTTTTAAATCTCCAGGGCTCACCATGTTTTTGAAATTAAATTCTGTCTTATATTTATTTTTATAGTGAATATATTCTGTATTTGGATGTTTACTGGAACAGCAGTTAGTCTATTCAAAAAATACTATAGTGGTATAACAAAAACAAAATATTTTGACAAATATTGGAATATAATAATATATATAAATAATATATATATATAATTATTGTGTATTATAAGACATTATCATTTCATTAAAATGTGTAAAATAAGTATTTTATTTAAATTATTTGTCCATATTCTAAGTGGGTAGATTTTGTCTTATCGTGTCCTATGACGCTTTGTCATAGATCAAACGTATCTTAACTCTTTCTCTCGATTGCTTGACCGGAGAAAGAAATCGCTCCTCCCCTCTTTCTGTAGCATAATAGATACCTATGTGGGGCCTTTATAAATTCTGCCACCAGGCGACTAAACTAGGAAAAAAATACTTTAGTATTAATTAAATTAACTAAAAATAATGTTACAGGGCTCTACTCCTTCAATCTGTTGTTTGCTTGTTTGAACTTCCAGAAGATGAAACTGTCTATTCTGAAGACAGATTATTACAAGATGACAATGATAATTCATATGAAGCTGGCTACTCACAACTTGCTTTTGCAAGCGAAACTGAATATGATCCATTAGAAGGTAAGTAACAAATAATACATTAATAACACAACAATAAAAAAATTATTTTAAAATGCTAAGTTATTGTAGTAGGAACTATTAAAAACAATTTTGTCAAAATCCAATTTATAAAATATTATTTAAGGAGATATTGATGGGATATTTAGAATAACTGAATGACGTTGCTGGACTGGGCTCTGTATAATCACCTATCTTAAGTTGCTTGCTTTACACAATTGCTTTTACCAACCTAAACATTTTTTTTAGATTCTGAGCGGAGCGATGAATGTATTGGTTTTACAATGATGTATGTTTTTATATTTTTTTTTTTTTATATTTTTGTGTCTGTCATCACGTTTTAGTACAGTAAAAGTGCTTGGATTTTCTTCATCAGTAGCTTTTCTGATAGGAAAGTGAATCTAGTTGGTACTTTAGGGGGTCAAAAGTATAAATTTCCCAGTAGTTTTCACAAGCGCCGGTAAAAACAACATAAAAATTAAGGAAAAACGGGAATTTTTACGCAAAATTGGTTTTCCAAAAAATCGATTTTGGTTATTGGTGTAACTCTAAAACAAATGAACGTATATACATGCAATTTTCACTGGTTGTTTATATTTGCATTTTCTATACGCGATAACATTTTCAAAATATTTTGATTTATTTTGAACTGTTTAGGGACATTTTCATTTTCCATTTTTTTTTAGTTTTTTTTCTAAAAATATCAATAAAATTTTATTTGTTGGTTGCGAAAGCTTGAAAATGTAATAGAAGGCTCCTAATATATTGTTTCAAAGGCAGATGAAAAATATTAAAAATCCTTAGTCACAATTTTTTTTTATAAGCATTTAAAGTTCAAAAATTGTAAAAATACGGAAAAATCACGAAAATTAGCAAATTATTTTGAGTTAAGAATTCGTAAAAATTTTTCTTTTTAAATCTAAGATTTGAAAATGTAATACAAGATTACTCATAAGTTTGTCTACCTTTATCAATAAAAAAATCTCTACCGGAATGTCAAATTAAATTTTTATGAGCGTTTGAAATTCAAATTTTTACAACATTGGATGTTCACTCAATTTCTCATGTAGCGATTTCCTTATTTTGTTGTAATTCAAAAACAAATAACTGTAGACACATGAAAATTTCACTGAATGTTTATATTAGCATTTCCTATACACCATACAATTTTGAAAATATTTTGACTCTTTTTGAGCTGTTTATGGACATTTACAGCTTTCAATTTTTTTTAGTTTTTTTTTCTATAAATATCAATAAAGTTTTATCTGTTGGGCCAAAAAGTGTAAAAATTTAATACAAGGCTCCTGATATATTGTTACAATATCAGTTGAAAAATATTAAAAATACATAGGCACAATTTTTTTTTATAAGCATTTAAACATCGAATTTTGACAAAATTTATCAAAATCTCGAAAATTATCAATCGTTGGAATTAAAAAATTGTAAAATGTTCAGTTTTTATAACTAAGAGTTGAAAATTTGAAACAAAGATTTCTTAAATAATTCATACTGTAACCAAAAAATCTAAAAAATATATAAACACACTTATTTTTTACAGACATTTTAATTTCAAAATTAGACAAAATTTCATATTTAAACCAAGAATTACGATCTTAGTTATTTTGTTGTGATTGAATAATATTATTCGTGGGTACTTGAAACTTCTAAAGTGTACTATTATATTATATCTATGATAGTATCACGGTTTTTGTTGATGTATAACGCGTTATAAGTATCTAATGGATATTGTGATATGATTAATTTGGAATTTATTATAGGTCAATTTTTTGTTTAATACCATAGATATGTATATAATATGTCTTATACATAGACTGACATACCGTCACCGCTCAGAATCGTTTTTCTTATACAATGATATTATATCATTGAATTCATTGAATTCAAATTTAATACCATCCATTATACATTGACCCACTTGTAATCTACTGTACAGCAGAGCGACACCCACTTGCCCACCTTTTTTATGTTTGATTTATGTGATTGTTTGTGCTTAAGACGATAGAAATATCAGAATTGCAATGTAACGATTGGTTTATTTTTAATATAAAAAAATTTTAATACTAAATAAATATTTTTGGCAAGTTCATACATTGTAGTTATAACGAGGCAGCGCGTTGATTTATTTTAATGGTTTTTTTAATTATTTAAAAAAAACTAAACACTAGCAAAATGAGAATGGAAATGTGCCGGATGATGACTGTATAAGCATAATTGTAACTATACCAAAGAAAAGTGGAGCAAATTCCAGTGAACCGTTTAAAAAACTGTGTCTACTGACACGTGTCTTAAAAATCCTAAAAAAAATAATAAATCGAAGAATAGAAGAAAAAGTAGAACAGTACTTAAAAAATGTACAATATGGATTTAGAAGACGAAAATGTACACGAGATACAATTCTAAGACTGCGAGTACTAATTGAAAAACAAATCGATAAAAATAAAATAACATATTTAGCCTCCATAGACTTGGAAAGGCCTTTGACAATGTAAATTTAAATAAAATGCTGCTCACATTACGAGAAATAGGTGTTGAACAACATAACCTAAGAATCATTCACGGTCTCTACAAAAATGAGAAATCATTGCTAACGCTCAAATATAACGGAATCTGACAAGGATAAAAAAACGAAAAACTAGATGCTTTTGGGATGTGGTGTTGGAGGCGTGTGGAATGGATAAGTTGGATAGAGCGGGGAAAACAAATGAACAAGTACTCAGCACTGTGAGATAAAAACATACACTCATTGATGTGATTAGAGCAAGGTGTTGGAAGATGATTGCCATGCCCTGAGACATTCAGAGTTGCATAAGATAATATTAGAGGGTATGATAGAAGGAAAGATAACTGCAGGATCTCCATGTAACTCTTATATAGGACAATTTAAATGTGATGCAAGAGTCAAAACTTTTAATTAACTTAAAGAAAACTCGAGCAATCGGTCAGAATGGAGATTTGGAGTTGTAAACCAACCTTTGGGTTGATAAAAAAAAAAAAAAAAACTAGAAAAATTCTGGTTCTGCCAACGTTTTCAGTAAATAAATACACAACACATACAAACAAAAAAAAATTTTAAATATACTTTAAAGATTTGTAATTATTGTGTGAAGCGAGGAACTTAAACACATATTAGATAGGCAATAACCGTGAGTTCAGCCCAAAACGTCAAGCGTCTTTTTTCAATTTACCATAATATCTCATTGAATAATGTGAGTAGAAACTTAAAACCTATACCATTATTCTTAGAATTGAACATTCATTCAAATTAAAAAACTTATTTTTTGTGTTTTGGGTTCCTTGATGAATTAATGTATTATATATTTTAGGAGTGGAAGCAAAAATGTTCCTAGGTCAATCATTAACCAAACTCATGAACCAATTACCTGGACGAGTTTCTATACTAATGAGTCAAGGAATTACTGAAGAGCGGCGTGCACAAATTCAAAACTATCTAATTAGTCTCAATGTGCAAATTATGTGAATTTTATACAATTCATTGATAAAAAATACCAACATTATTAAATGAGTTTTGTATATTGTATGTAATGAAAAATTTTTTTTTCTTGAGTTTTAAATAATTATTTTGTTTAACCGCCGCAACAAACACAAAATACCTTTTTTATCTTCAGTTTATAACAGTTAATAATATTATAGTAAATTAATTTTTTTTTTTTAGCTAAGGATAACTTTTAATTTTAAAAATGTGTGTATATTTTTTATCTTGTTTACAAAATTGTTATAATAAAAGATGTTCATATTACTTATAAAGTACAGGAAAGTACACAACTACTTATTGTAAGAAAATAATAACACTTCATTTTCAAACTAACTACTGGGGGACTAAATTTAATTTAATACAAATTATTTACAGTCGTTACAGAATATAATTGCTTTTACCAGTGGTATAATTAAAAAAGCTATGGACCTAATCTCAAATTCAAATTTAATTTAATTTTAAATGATAAAAAAAAAAGGGAGAAAGTAGGTGTCCAAATATATCTCGTCATTGACTATGTTACTGTAATGTGTTAAATTTAAATTCAGTGATAAATCATTGCGTATGAAAAAACAATTTTGAAAGATGATGTTCTTGTCGGCCTAATTACTAAATATAATTCATGATATATTTATTTTAAAATTATAAATACGATAAGTTGAAAGTGACAAATAAGTAACCTATTACATATAGGCATATAGCTATAATGATGTTAGTGCAAATGGATGTTCATTGAATAGACAAACAATCCAAAATAATTGTTTTAAACCCCATACCCATAGGCCATATTTAATTCTTCAATGATGATCTGGCACCAGAAATTTTAATTATAATAATTTATTAATTCTCCAACAAGCAATATCTACAAAGTGTAATTATAATAAACCAATTTCTATTGGATCACCTCCAAAGCCAAAGGCTGTGCTGGAGGATAGAGTTCATGCAAGTACTCTTGTAATAATATTAAATAAACATATCAAGGATATAAAAAATAAATTATAAATATTAGATATGTAATCAATATTATTTACAAATAAACTATTACAACTAAAATTTTAATTATATTATTTAAATTTTAAATCCAGAGACATACGTTTTTTTGTTACTTATTTAAAATCTTTAAAATCATGAATAAATATTTTATATTTAATAGAAAATTGAGTGAATACAAAAAATATGGTCCTGATTGACAAAAACAGTCCTTAATGCAGGTAATGTATTATTAATATCTTTAACAAACCATGTGTAATAATTATGAGTAGGAGAATTAATTGTATTATTATATTTAAAAACAACAGCAAAACATGCATGATATGAAGGAATTCAATATTTAAAATTTTACATCCATTATATAAATTAATTTATATTTTACCTAATACAGATTTATTTTATATACTAATGTTGGGTTGCATGAAAAATGTATTAATCTGATGGTTCAATAAAATTTAATATACTAATCATGGGTCACAAAATTATGTTTAAAGAACATTTGGCTCAATATTGGTTTGTTAAATGTTAAGTGATTGTTCATGTAACTCGTCATAAGTACCATAATGTTGTACAAGAATTATTATGCCTAAAGGATACCTACCTAATTTCTACATTAAAAAAAGCATAAATACATAATTTACTTGTTCGAAATATGTAAATATTGAAAATAATGTTGATATAATATATTTTACTTTAACTATGAGTCATGGCTCATGACCCATGAGTCATGACCTAGTAACAATACACAGAGTTAAGGAAATTAAAAGACTGCAGATTCAGTACACACATTTCTTACGGGCCAAAAAATCATTAGTTAGATATAATATATTAATTCAGTTTGTAAATAGCAACCAACTAAGGTGAGCTGAGTACCTACATAGGAATATTAAAAATAAAAAGAATCAAGATTGTTTGAATTGTTGACAAATTATAAATTATAATACTATATTAAATATTTCAATGTGGCCCTCTTATGTTATGACAAAAATGCCATATTGGTACCTATGAATGCACAGTGTGACTGTGTGAGTGTCCAGCAGTTGTCCAGGAAAAGTATTATTACATAAAAATAAATTAAAATTTCAGTCTACTTTGAATTAAATATTTTATTAAACTCACTTTTATAGTCAGAAAATAATTGTATTAAGAAAATATGACTTAGTCTAGTTGGAAATTAATAGCTTGCGTAACAGCATCCCAGGCTCTTTCATGTTTATCATACTCAATGCAAATATCCAGGTAGGTAACTAATAAAAGTCTTCAAAATTACCCGGAAAGTTTATTTTTGGCCAATTGGGCTTCTGCCATCATCTGAAAAATGTACAAAATAAAAACTACAAAATTTTGGAAAGTTAGAAAGCTTGGCTGGCCATTAGACATCAAAATCATAAATAATAGACTACTGAGTCCAGACTCTAGATATATTATAAGGAGATTAAACTTGTACATAGGTGATAGGTAATAAACGTTTCTTAATACATCGCAGACTTATTTCGCCACCAGTATATATGTGCGGCAGTTCTCGCCTTCCGAGGCTGTTTTGACACACACTTAACCCAAATTAGATATAGAAAGATATGGAACTATTTAACATTAAAAGAATGTCAGCACACTGTGTATTTGTTTTCTCTCTCTGGCCCACGCACAACTTAGCAAATTTATGTTTAGCAGAACCAACTTTATGTTCAGAACATTACCTGTGTCCCTACGTTGCTCATTTTATGATAATTTAATTTTTATGTAAGTTATGAGTGTGCAAAATATTACAATTTAAAAATGTTTATTAATTGTATACCTACAAATTAAAATATTGTAAAACAGCCAACGAAGGGACACAGGTAATTTCTTACTGTTCTTGGCTTAAAGTTTGATAAGATGAATAATGAATTCACTCTAATATTTAAAGTAACAACACAGTTAGTTCTGCTAGACATAAATTTGTTGTTACGAGCGGGTCAGAGTCAGAAAACAATTGGTGCGCTGATATCCTCTTAATTAGTTTATAAGAAAAAATTATACATTTTGTTCAAATCAAAATGACACCAGCGTCTTAGGCTTGAATTAGTTGAATTCCTAAAAATATTTATAGTTAAATTTAAAAAAATAGTGTGTTTATGTTGGTTTATTAACCAAAATTGACTTTATTCATCTAAATTATAATACACAATTTGATAAACTACCTAATAAATAAATAATTATTTAAATTAGATATATCCATTCCATGAACTCCGATCACAATTAATGTGTTGGATGTTTTACATTCCATACATACCTATATTAGTAAGTCAGCTTTATATTTTATAGTAGACACCTAATTAAAAATAATAGAAAATATCACTTAGTGATTTTAATCTCCCTCTATAGGTATTTCAGGTAGTTTGCACTTCCCTTGGACATCAATGTTATTAATTAGAAAAAATGATGTAGGTAACAAAACATTTTACTTACTAAACGTTTTTCTAAATCTGGTATATGTGGAACGTTATTCATCCAATCTTGAATACGAATGTATAAACTCTTGTTAACATGATATTGATCATATGTACTAGACTTACTCCAGAAATGATGCTCATTATAACCTGGTATTGGCTGTAGCAGGGTTGCTATTCTATAATATGATAAAAAGTTATTATAGATAGTTTACAAGTTAAAAAGTTACTTAATTGGGTTTTTTTTTAAAACAGGCACTGATCAGAGCGTTGTATTTTGTTAATTTGTTTTGTTACCTTTTTTTTGCAATTTTTTTTTTTTTGAGACTTATGTAGTTACTATACTGAGAAGTCAGAATTTGGCGGTCGGACTTAGTTTCGAAGTTATGGCTTATAATAATAATGAAGTTCGTTATTTTACGATCGGATTTTAGCGCATTCGCGAGTCACTAGTCACTTCACCAAGCCCCCATCCAACGAGAGGTCCACAGGACCTCGAGCTTCTATATACTTATGGTGCTCTAACAGGCCATCGAGTCTGGCGACCGGAGCCACTATACTTGTGTCATTTTAAGGTTAAAATTACTTGTTAGGTCATCCGTCTGCCCGCAGGGCAGGTATGCTCCCCCCCACGACCCTTAAGGGGTCACCCCCTCCCCCTCCCAAAGGTTTGCATATATTTAAGCCCTTGGGGGGTTGGGGGCCGAGCCCCATCCAACTAGAGGTCTGCAGGACCTCGAGTTTGGTGACCGGTGCCGGTAGGTGAAGGGAGGTGAGGGTGAGGGTGGTTTTGCCACTGGACCGTCTGGACCTGTTGTCTTATAATTGCAAAAACAGTTACCTATAATAGATTACTGATTAGCATAGCGTAAAGACAATTAAGAGCGTTGAGCTTATGCGTAAAAACTCAGAATTCGAAACTGCCTTAGCATATAACTTTACAAGTCTGGCTATCTAATTTTGATTGCACCGTCGTTCCTAACTCGTTGAAGTACATAGCCTGATAGCCACATAGGTTTCAAAAAAAAATAATATTCGTAATAGGTGCAGTACACTAGTGACTCTCGAATGCTCAAAAATCGTAAAATAGTGAACTTCATTGAGTCGAAACTAAGTCCAAATTCTGACTTCAGCATCGTTCTCAGTATAGTTAACTACAAAAGTCTAAAAAAAAAATTGCAAAAAAAAGGGTGTCCGGTAAAGTAACAAAGTTCCCACGTACCTACCTAACATGTCAGTTTACTTTTTTAGGAATTCAACTAAGGGTAGGTATTTTGATTTAACTTAGTCCGTCTCCAAAAATCTTTATATATTATTAAAACGTGAGGCGATTTCTGATGACAGTTATATCTGAAGAGTGAAGACTGAAGTTCTACTGGACCGATTTTCATTATTTCTTTTTCTAAGGCAATTACTCGGTGTGAAGATGAGCCATCAAAAGAGAAAAGTCCAAAAAATGTATTATTTATATTATTAGTTATTAGAAATATTAAGTTTGTCGTATATTTATATAGCGACATTCGTTTGCGACGCCGGCGCCCGCCGGTTTAACCCCCACTCTCCTACGTCTACTGCAGTACTGTAACATATTGTCATCGTCGTCATTGAATAAAAACCCAACTATTTTCGATTTCGTAATTTCGCGTACAGCAGAACTTATTAAAATTATTATTATTAGTATAATAGTATACATTTTAAAATGGAATAACTATAAAAATGTGAAATGAAAATCCCTGTACAGGCTATACTCTGGAACTTCAGATCTTCTTAAATTTTGTTTTAAACGTAAGAGTATTTCACGGAGAAGATTTATATGGAAGAAAATTTTAGGAAAATCCACCGGTGTATAATATATTGGTTGCTATATTGGTTGATCGGGCATGTTTGGTGATTTGTATTATTATATTTTGTCAATATACATATATACATATAATATTTATTAAGAGACGATCTGATAAGTAGTTCCAGAGTTTATAGTCAGTGTATTTATATAGTTAGATATTTATGTATAAATTAATGTTTGTGGCCTTGTGGGTAGTTTAGACTTCTGAGAAGAAGATAAATTAATTTACAAAGGGTTAAATTTGTTTTTTTTTTATTCATCGGATTTTAGTACGTTTAGGTTCGGATAGGGTTTTGTATAAACTGATTATATTAATCCACCGTAGGTGGAATCAAGTAAGAACGACAAACTTGGTATAACTTTATTGATACTTTAGAGTTAAATCATACACTTACGTACAAGCAGCACGGGGTCCGCGATCTATCGCAGGTAGATTTCCTACTTGATAATGTACTGCTGCGAATCAGAATTTTTATTCGGGGCAACGGAAAAGTTAAGATAAATTTTGAACACCACACACCGAATATTAAATAACGAATTGAACTAAGTTTGAGTCATATAGAGTTGATACATTTAACGGGCAACGAAGTGCACGGGATCAGCTATTTTTATAGTAACAAATTAAACAATGAATGAACAGTAGGTATATAGGTATTCTTATAAAAAATACCGTTGCAGCGTTATACAAATAAAATACAGACAATTAGGTACTAAATAATAATTAAATTTAATACCAAGTTAAGAAAAAAAATTTCGTGACATTTTGCCTTCTAGAAAATAATTAAAGTGCCTACTTCTGACTTCTTTAATCAAGATAGTTATTTGCCATTCAAAACTGATTAATAAATAATAATACATCAACATTTAAAACTTAAATATGAAAAAAGATAGTCTAAAGACAACTACCTACTGAACTACTTAATATATATAACTAAGTAACTAGGTACCTTTTTCAAAAATAGTTGACTAAAAATAAATGTACTTTTTTAAAAATAAATATAATTATGTATGAAGAAAATCAATTAATTAATTAAACTCACGTCTTACAGTCAGAAACTAATTGTACTAATAAAGGAAGTTCACAGAATCGGGAATTATTAGCTCTCTTAACAGCTTTCAATGCGCTTTCGTGTTTTTCATATTCAATGAATAAGTAACTATAACAAAAGAAAACAATGACTTTTTCAAAATGTACGTTCAAAGTGGAATGTCTAAAGTAGGCACTCACTCTTTAGTGTCGCCATTTTCAGATTTTGGATAGTAATCTCTGAGGATCTTACCAAACTGCGTAAATATTTTGGTGATAACTCGTTGGAGTTGGTCGAAGCTTTTGGGTTCGGTTTTAGGAATACTTCCAACTTTAATGACGGTGGACACTTCGAGTTTCTTCTGCAGTACGAGATTGAGCAATACTATAAAAATGACGATGTCACACGAATGAGTGGAGGAACCTTAAGGTCCGATTAATTGTCGCTGTCTTACCTTCGTCGATTTCGCTGTCAACGGTCAATTCGTTGTCGATGGCATCGCCGGCCACCGCCATGACGAATCGGCTGTCTGCCTTATCTGTAATCGACTGATCAATTCGATTGAACGAAAATAATGAGCAGTAAACGAAGAATATACGTGTAGACGTGTAGTGAGAACTATACGAGACTTGAGATGGTCAGGTCGAATTCGTACTTGGTAAGTCGGTTAAATAGCAGTTAGAGTTAGAACCACGGTTGACTATAACTTATAAGCAACTGCAAAGGTAGTGGAACTTATGAATCGGCTCGTACCTACTTTTAGACTATAATTTACCATAGGTAGTCCACAATAATAATTTATAGTAAAGCAACGATTAAAACCTAGGTGGATTATAAATCAAAACATTTACATAGTGGCTGCGCATTCCGTGTAAACCGTGTGGTTAACCTGTTACCATAATAAATAATAATATAGGTACCAGATATATCATATTATGTCCCCGGGGCTGAAGCAGTGAAGCACCTCAGTAAGTTTTGGGTTTTCCTAAAAAGTAATCCGATGGCGGTTTGCCGTTTGCCCACATGGCCTTATCTCGTTCATCATTGTAAGTCGTGTATGACAGAGCTATTCAGCTATCTAACTAGGAGAGTGGGAGCAACTGAGAGGGCCGATTCTTCAGGGCTGCTGTTATCGAATTAACCACGAATCATCGAGGTATATAAACTATACTGGAGCGCGCACTGCGTATACCGTCCGTGTAATGAAAAACGAGCCGACGCGTTCGATCGTTTCCCCCACCACTGCAGGGCAACTTTAATGCCATGTACCGTATAATAGTACGACGTACCTACTACCTTTACGTGTATAATACATTATTTTTTTCAAAAATTATTAAATTAGGAATCAATAAAAATAATTTAATATCATTTAATTTTTTCAATAGCAAAACATTAAAAGTATTAGCCCTTAGTATAGTATACTCTAAAATATATTTGAGAAATACAATACTTATCATTACTACACATACAATATAAAATTAAAAATACTAATGAAAATATTTATTATTTCCTTTAAAAATATTAATAACATATAATTTAACATTCATTTACATAATATCATACTAAAATAAATTACATTCAAATTATAAATAAAAGTATAAAAACAAATCAAATACACTCAATGAGTAGTTTTAACAGTTTAAATATTGTTAAATAAAATTAATTTTGTTAATTTCTGCCTTAATGATGATTTATTTTTAAATACTTGTTTAGAGTTTATTTCTTTAACATAATGACGCATTCTTATATTAACAAAACATTGACTTAGTGCCGTAAAGAGGCTATACTCATGACTTGGGGAACCAATATCAACAGAAATAGGATGTGAATTTGGGAAAAAAAAAGAGTACTTTTGTTCAATATATTTTTTTTTTTGCTAACATTACAATGTTTTGTTTCACATTGTTATGTAATTTTTTATTTATAACAACAACAGCTTGAAAAGAGTTTTCAAGCTCTTGAATAATATAAGTGATACACCTGATGAAACTATTTTCAATTTCCCCCGATTTACAAAAGATGTAAAGTTTGCATCTTTTACATAGCTATGATCTGTTAGATCACTTTTTACTAATATATCAATACAGTAAGGACACACAACTTTTTTGCAAATATTTTTTACAATATATCCAGCAATATAATCAAGTATTTCATTAGTATATTCAATTAACTGTATTACGATTATTATCGAAATAACCATTTTTGTTCATATAATATATTAGAATGTTTTTGACGAATTTTAATTTTAATAGAAAAATAAGGTTAAAGACAAAAAAACAGTACAAACAATTAACCAAGAGTTCAGAGCCATGAGAACATACTACGTAGTGGCCGGCGTGTGGTAATCTTTTGCCCTGCAGTGGTGGGGGAATCGTTCGAACGCGTCGGCTCGTTTTTTGATAACGAGTGCGCGCTCCAGTATAGTTTATATACCTCGATGCCACGAATAAAGCATAGATCATAGATAAAGGAAAGATTTGATAAAGGATATCTATGCCTTTATCTATGGCATAGATATCTATGGAATTATGATACACCACAGATATCCATACATCACGATTTAAGATATATCGTATAAATCGTGATTGTTACATTCTGTGGTTACCACGATTATAAAGAACGATTATAAAGATTATAAGGTGTTCTTTATAATCGTGGTGGTTACAGTAGAAAAAAAAATAATCCACCTGTTTATTCAATATACTCTGTAGATAACGAAATTAATAATTAAATTAAATTGACAATAATTATTGTTTTTGATTCACAAGAGACTACATATTTTGATAAGTATAAAAAAATTAAAAAATTCAAAAATACCGTTTGATAACATTTCGTTCGTTATAATATATTATAATAGGTTACTATCACACACCACGGTGCATCCGAATTGCATTCCAAAAAAATAAAAAATCCGAATTGCATGCCGTCTCTTGGAGGGGTCTGTCCGAATTGCATGCCGTCTCTTAGAGGGGTATATCCGAATACATAACTTACTTTTCAACTGGAGGATCGGGATTTTGTTACATTACAATAAAACATATAAATATTGTAGAAGGTGACACTGTGAATAGGAATCATAAAAATATAAAACTATTTTTTTTTCATCGACAACAAAGGCCATTAGTTAAATAAAACTATTGTAGTTTAGAGTAATCAAGTGAGTGTATTTTAAATAATATTATTTTTAAATTTGGTGGTTTTTTTTGACATTTCGGGCACACAATATTACAATTTAAATAAACAAAATAATATATAATAATAAAATCATGATAAAGAAAACTTTATCATGAATAAAATATTATTAATCTGTTGTGAAACAGACCGAGACCACAATACACTACATTACTCCAATATAGATACTGTTTGGGAAAATATTTACACGGATATAAAAATATTTCAATCCAGAAACTAATCACTAAACAGTTGTAACAACCATACATAAAAGAGCGATTCTATACATGCATTTTTTTAAAAAAATTAGGAAAGTCCAAAAAAAATTTTAAGTTGTTTAAGTGCAATATAGTAAATAAACGTGTGGTGTACGGCATGCAATCCGGACAAAGCCCTGTAAGAGATGGCATGCAATTCGGACAGACCCCTCCAAGAGATGGCATGCAATTCGGACAAACCCCTACAAGAGACGGCATGCGATTTGGACATTTTTTTTTTTGGCATGCAATTCGTATGCAGCCCACAGTCCACACACCAGTATCTGTGCCTTAGATAATATCAAGGTGTACACCACGGTCTTAGAATAATCATAATGTATAATAATGAATAAAACCTTGGATAATATACTTGTATACCACTGAACTACTGAGTACTGACCACTATATAAGCAATACACAGGGTGATATTATAATTAATTATTAAACTAATGTTAAAAATAATTTTGATATGAAATAGTAAAACTCGTTATATAATTGACATAAATTGAAATTCACGTTTTAATAAAAATTATTTCGGACATTAGTTTGTACCCCGTCCAAGTATAAAAAAAAATATTAGAGGTACCTACGCAAAAAAAAAAATAGTATGGGAGGTCCGTCCCCCTGCGCACCCCCCAATTCGAGCACTATTCTCATTTGAGTTATAAGTATAGCTTAAGCAATACCTACTTATTCTTAAGCATCGATTATGATGACTACTTTTTACTTTTATTTTTGAATATTATGTTTAGTTTTTAATAGAATGAGCATGATTTTAACTATTTTACATTGAAAAAAATGACTGTTGTAGGGTTGTGACTTCCAATTAATTTATGATTTAATATTTATTAGATTTCTGAGTGTTGGCGCCTGGCGGAGTTTTTGATAAGTTGTTATTATAATTAATTATGAATGGGTTAGTACTTTAGTCGTAACTTGTTTATTGTCTTTCAAAAATGTAAAATATTACAGGAGTAATAAGTTAGTAGTTACCACAGAATATTAAATATTAAATTATAATTAGGTATATGGGTTGATAAATATTATTATGAATGGTATAAAAAAAGGTTAGGTACCAGGTACCTATGTACAATTATATCGCAAACAAAAATACAAAATATAACTATAAACAAATACTATAGATTATCTATAGTATTTGCTATAACTGTAGCCTGTAGGGTTTTAGAATAACTTTTTTCTTATTTTAACGCGGATATTTTTTCCCTTAATTGTTTTTTTCAATAAGAATTATTATTTATTAATATTTGTGTACTAGACACTAGTTACTTAATAATAGCAGGTGCCATTAATTTAAAAACAAAAATACTAAAAATTATTATATTTTGTACCCACGCATTTTTTTTTTTTTAACAAAAAAATTTCAATAGGTATACTTCTGGAAATATATTTTCTAATATATAATTTTCAGTTAAAATATTTTATGCAAACATTTTTTTATGCATCATAACGTTCTGTAAAGTTGTGTTCTATTAAATTCCATATAATTTTTGAAATCGTAATAAACTTTGTCGCATGCGATAAAATTTTTTTACACTTAGTAGAATTTCTGCAATATTCATATTTCTGTATGTTTACGTTCTACTGATATAATATAATATTCTTATCAGTTTACATTCTGTAGTATTTATTTACGTTCATTTTATTTTCTGTTTAAATATTTTCTGGTTGTGGTAGTACCAAGAGAAAATAAGTTTCTTTAATCGTTATACTTATCTATGATCGAGATCGTGGCTGAGCTTCACTTGATAACAATGTGTGTGTAAACACTGTAAACAATAGTGATATAAACCGTTTTTATTTAGTGTAATAGTGTCTGGTATAAAAGCTATAATTAAATAAAAACTATACAAAATATATTGATGTCTCGTTCTGTTTTCTCGAATTCTCGAATCTCGATGTCCTAAATTATAGTATACGGACTATAATATAGTGACCATAGTCCATAGACAAGTATACTGTGGTATACTGTACTTTACTATAGTGACTACTGTCCGGCCCGGAGTTCTGTCGAAATAGACCTGTGAAATTATTATATTAATTAAAAACTAATTTTGTTCTGTGCTATCACATGAGTGCTGACAGTGTAAGACGCGAGTGCTATAAACTACTAGTAACTACTAACTATTAACTACCGTCGTAGATAAACATACATTTCATCTATGCTACAGTTGAAGATCCATCATCTATATTTAATCGTGCTAGTGAATTAATTTTACTATTTAGCCGTAAATTGAAGTGATATCGTACTTCCAACTTTTTGAATGGTATTGTCATATGCACGGTTATATTGTGGTTTTGATGTGAAATACTGAAAAACTCTTTTAGATTTGGCGTCTGATAGTCGCTACATTTAATGTTTTTGCTGATTTAAAGGCGTAACAATCATGGTAAGACTTATAGAATTCGGAACAGTTAAAGAAAACTATGTTTTGTTCATTTGTAATAGTTACAACTGTGATAATTTATGGTTTAGATTTAGAAATCTCTAAACCACAGTTTGAGATAGACTATCTTAAATCGTTCTGTAAAGCTCTAGTGAAGTTAACTTGTTAACATGTGACAAAACTGGTTCTTTTGATATTAATGCTCACTAATTTGTATTTAAAAAATGACAAACAAAAAATAAATGAATGATTTAGATGGTCTGTAAGTATGGTATATAAATAAAAAAAAAAAATGCTACAACATAGATCAATTTATTCTATGATATGCAAATAAATACTCAAATAGTCAAATATATGAAATTCTGAGGCTCACTAATAAATACATTTTAAATAATTACCTATGATTTATTATAATTTTAATTTTACCAATTTGTTTTAGAGTAAAAAAAACAATAATAAAATGAATTCTCTTCAAATATCAAAAACTGAATTTGATACAATTAAATCAAAAGCTGTTGTCAAATATTCTTCAGTTCTTCGACCACCTAATTTTGCTCATCTTCAATGTAACACTGATCTAAATCTACCTCCTTCAAATTGGTTAAGCAGTGCAGCTGAATCTTATGGCTTACGACACATGTTATCTCATTCAGATGGATTTTCTAGGTAAGAAAATGTTGTATATTTTGAAAACATTATTGTATTTTTTTGATTTTCTACCTTCATAATATGTTATTTTAGTTTTCAAATGGCTCACATGTTTCCAGACTGCATTGGGGAAGTTGATGTTGTGTCAGATGCTGAAAATATAAAACGACTATTAAAAATACCCTACAGTAACAAATCGGTAATTTTAAATTTAAATATTTAATGTTAGCTAATAATATAACATTTAAGACCTTAAAATTAACTACAGCTCGGTTAATAAGTTCTTATAATTAATTAAATGTTACAACTTGTAGCTAACCATATCATCATAAGTGCAGCAACTAGGCTTTTATTGGCAGGGGTGCAAATATATTTCATGCGTGCCAGTATAATTTTTATATTTATGCAAAAATGTTTACCTTATAAATGAGTAACTGATAGGCAGTATGGAGAGATAGATTCTCAGTGGCAGTATGTAAACAAAAGTTTATTTAATCACATTTGAATATATTTTGTACTTAAAAGTTAAAACTGTTTATCGGTGGAATTAACTTTGATTTAAAGTGATTGGTAAAAATATTGATATACTTTGTAAGCTTTATTGCATTACATCCTCGATTACATCTTACTTTACTGACTTCTGAAAATTAAAGTCCATTATTAGTTAATGCTTAAAAAGATTCGTATACTATGAATAGTTATTTAATATTATTAAGCTATTTAAATAAATAATCACTCATTTTAATTAAACTATTTAAATTCACTAAAGGTGAGCATGATGGTTCATAGGATTGAAAATACATTGCTTCTAGACGAATTTGATGTTCACAAACATTTGATGGTGCAAACAGAGGATGACTGGGAATGGCTGAGAAAATTTTTCTACGGTCATATTTTAGAATCATTTGATAGAAAAGTAAGATAAATTGTGTTTAATTATTGCATATTTGCATTAAATTCTAATACTTCATGATATATTCTTTTTTAATTCATAAAACAACTCAAAATTAAGATAAATATTTGTTTGAATGTTAAGTTTTGGATTGTAATTTATTGAATCTATTTATTTGTTTTACTGAATACAGGAGAAATGTATAACACACAAAGTGAACACTTTTGATGTTATACAACAAAGAAGTTTGATCTCAAAGTTCTTACATTATAGCATTGCTGAGTCATCAAATTCCAACAATGATTACCAATTACCAAATAAAATTTTACCAAGTCCACCTTCTTCAGTATGTTTTTCTTAGTCTTGCAATTATATATTATGTATTTATTATTTAGTATTTACTGAAACTTTGAATTATTGGTTAAATAATAAATATATTAAGTTTATATATGCATTAAACCATAAATTATTTGCAGTCAGCTCCTCCTTTACCAGAACCTACGCCAGAAGAAGAATTCCCCGATGATCCTAAAACACATCGATTATTCAACCAAAATGTTTTATGGAATTTTGAAGATCTGCGAATGTTACTTGGTACAGATTTACCAATTTTTGGAGGTGGCACTTATCCTTGCATAAGTCTGAGATTGAGGTTTAATATTTAATTTTAACCATAATCTATGGTCTTGTATTAAATTAAAAATAATACTAATATTCAACTTTTAAATTTAGAGATATGTCAAAACCCATAAGTGTGTTAACTGGGATTGATTATTGGTTAGATAATTTGATGTGCAATGTTCCTGAAGTTGTAATGTGTTATCATTTAAATGGCATTGTTCAAAAGTATGAGTTAGTAAAAACTGAAGACTTGCCATATATGAATGATTCAACATTTTCACCTAAAGTCATCAGAGATGTCGCACAAAATATATTATCATTTTTAAAGTCAAATGCCACAAAAGCTGGACATACGTACTGGTTATTCAAAGGTATAAAATAAAAATTACTTAGAAGCGTTAAATATAGTTATTAACCGTATATATGTGCTATAGTCTTAATTACATCTATTTAATGTGTAGGGAAAAATGACGATGTAGTGAAACTTTACGATTTGACATCATTATGTTCTGAATCATTAGTCGAAGGACGCTGTGAAGGTCAAAATCCATTTACTGTTCCTGTCGCTATGTTGTTATATCGCGTTGCTCGGAATTTAAAGCACAACCCAGATGTTGGAATACCATCTAGTCCAATTACTATCCAAATGTTGCTAAACAATTGTTTAAAATTATTAAATAAAACAAAGTACCCTCAAGTAATCAACAATAAATATAAGTCTGTAATTAATTAAAATAACTTTTAATAATGCATTTATTTTATGATTAACAGATTGTTACATCCGTAAACTACATGTTATCTGACCTCTATATCCCAGTTAATACCAATCCCACATCGCCTAAACTAGAAGATTTAACTAATATTGGTGAAGATTCTCTCACATCTCATGTTGATTCTGATGACGATTCATCATTTGGCTCTGATGATGAATCTCCCACCTTTTCTGTTGATGTACATGAATTATGTTTATCACACAAAAAAAAAAAAAAACCTACAAGTAATTATTCATTACTTTTAATACATGAAATTAAAATTATTAACTTATATTTATTACTTATGAATTCAGAACATAAGTTTCCTCGATCAGAACCTGTAGTAAAGACGTTGGAAGAGCGTTGTAAAAAAGCGTTATATCATGTCGGTTGTGGCTTAAGTTGTTTACAGTATTTTAAGAATCTTAATCCACAGTGTACTGATGAAGATAATATGGTCTGAAATAAATAATTGATTTTATATATTTTTAAATTTTAATTAAATTATTGTATAAATTCTTTGAACTTAGAAAAAGTTTGGGGATAAACCTAAAATGGCATCATCATCCAATGCAATTCCTATGCCATATTTTGTTTCTGAAATGGATCAACAAATGAAAGAAGATGAAAAAGTTGTCAACAAAGGCATAAAAAATAAAAACCGCAAACATAATAAAGCTAATATTGTTGTTGAAAATGATGATGACACTAAAAATGTGTAAGTACTTGTTAAAAAAAATTGATCCTTTTTAAATCACTGCAATCTTTGGTTCTACTGTTTTTAGTCCTAGCACATTACTCTGTAAATCTATTGCTGAAACTATGCCCACTTGGCATAATCCACCCGATGCTAAAGACAGTGATTCATGGAAACAACACTTACGGGTGTTACTTTATGAAAAAGCATGTTTATCCTATGCTGCATTAGCCGAATATGAGTTTACTTGTAACAAGTAAGATGTGATAAATATGTGTGATATTGCTAAATGTTAAACATTTATTTTAACTATAGGTATGGAATAGCGTTGAAACACTTTCGATCTGTATTTGAATGTCGTCTATGTATTATTAACAACAACATCAACGACCTATTTGGATTTTTATTAGGACGTTGTGGTGATTGCTGTTTGTTGATTGCTCAAAACTGGGATAAAGCTCAACAATACACAGATGAGTTAAAAACTGATGAAAATTATGATATAGAAATAAGAGAAGCATTGCAAAGCGAATGTGACAGTTGCACACAAGAAGGTAGTTTCTGCTTAGGATAATTGGCTAAAAATTATTAAAATTTTTATAAAAAATATTTATTTTACAATGTTATAGATTTCAATTTAATACCACGATTGTTTGAGTCAAAAGAGGATATGTTGAATGCAGCAGCTAATTGTTATGGACGTTCTTTAGATTTAGAAACAAATGAAAAAAACAAAAATAATCTGAACAGAAGAATTGGTAATGTTTACAATGAAATCACATCAGGATACATAGACGAAATTGCAAGTAAGTTACTTTTCTTTAGGCTTAAATTAATTGGGGTTCATATCACTTTAATCTAATTTTTATAGCTGCTTTAAGAGATAAAATTGAGTTAACTCCTTCAAGATTGCAATGGCTTCTAAAACAATCCAAACATTATTTGTCCAAGGGGATTGATAAATTTGAAAGTACTGAAGATTTAATTAATCTCGCTTTGTTGTATTCGAACATGGGCCGCTTATATAGACACGTGTCTTATTATTCATCACAATACATGGTTTCCTTAGGAGAATTTTTAAAAGATGAGGATTTTACTAACAAGGTTAGTTGATTGATTTTAAATTGAAATTAATTGTTTCAGTTGGCTGTATAATATTGTAAGCCATTTTATTATTTTATACTAATATTTTAGGCTGTCGAAAGCTACATGAAAGGTCTGGCAGTGCTGGGCTGCCGTCGTTTTAATCCAAAACTCTGGGACATGGTTTGTTGGGACTTATCAACAACTATTTACAATATGGCTATACAATCTCAAGATGATCCATCTGTATTCAGTGTAAGTGTCTGATGTTCAGTTAAATTTTAATAATTTGTCTTGACTCATAGAAAAAATTATACAACATTTAGGATAGGGTTGAAGCTGAGAAAGAAGTTATCAGTTTACTCTTGAAAGCTTTAAAATATTGTGATTTGGAAAATGATTCGTCTAGAAAATTGTTGTACGAATTCCGGGCAGCATATATTCATGACCGACTAGCATCTTTATATCACCATCGTTTAAGGTAATAATGGAATATTGGTAAAATACAACTATGATTTTTATTTTTATTGTAATAGTATTAATGTATAATTCATTGTATGCTTTATAAAACTCTAAACCTATATTAATGGCCACACAGAAAAAGAGGGTCAAAGCGACATGACATATCATTGGAAGGAGAAAAATATGAGTTTTCCAATGAACATGCGCAAAACATCTGTGACCATTATTTAAAAAGTTATTGCTTATCAAAAAAATTAAAATATTAAAATAATAACAAAATGTTTTTTAATTTTCCTGAAAACCTTGGAAAAATGTTGCATAGCTATCTATATTAATATTTATTTATAATTATAAACTGTTACTTTTTATTAGATGTTTATTCTCAGCTTACAACTACAATTTCATATTTTTTTATCAGGTGTTTGGAAGTGGATATTCCAAAGTTTAAAAGTACCCTTCATCAGTGTACATCTCATTATAATCGTGCATATGAAATGTTTTATAAAATGGATCGTCCATTGGAGTGTCTTGAAATACTCATCAAAAACATTGCTTTAGATGAGCTTCAAATTGACAGTATGTAAATGCACTTAATCTTACAATAACTTGAAATAATTTCAATAATTATTGTCATTTAGGTGCAACAAATTCTCAATCCAAAGTTAAATTTATTATGTCCATCACACAAACTTTAGGAAAATGTATTTCTATATTAAAAATGTTAGCAGAAAATAGTATTGATGAGGGCAAGGAAAAATATTCAGATGATCATAATGATAGTCTTGACAAGACAGATCGGAATGGTGACGATGACCAAGATAGTGAAATGAAAAAAAAAAAGTTGTTAAAACTTTTAGAAGAAAGATTACAGCATATATTGAAGTCAATGATCAAGCTGGCTATGGCAAAATCATCAAAGTGAGTGTGCCCTGTTATTAACTAAATGTATATTATTTCATACTTGTTTTTTTGCATCTACGATGGCTTAAAATTAAAATGATTGAAAACACAGGCATAACATATTCAATAAGAGTTTAGAATATTAACAATTCATATCGAAAAAATTTGTCAAAATTCAAATCAAGACATTTAAATGAAAAACAGCTTTGTTTTCCTCCAACTTTATTATTTATTTTGTTGTAATTCATAAAATATTTGTCTCAGAGTCTTAAAACTTTAGCCGTTATAAATATTATTATTTTCTATACGCGATGACATTTTCAAAATGTATTAGTATTCCCTTTTTATTAACACCAAACAGCAATTTTACAACAGATCTGGTATAAAAGTATGCATATCATATGCAGCATATGAGTGGTTAGAATACAATAGGGCTAATGTAGGTACATAAGAAAGTTATTATATAGAAAAACAGAGAGCTAAATATATAATTAATATATTATATATTGTATATTATATTTAAATTATATGAAATCAAAAATTAGTTTGAGTTTGACCTACTTGTTTTAAGGCGATATTTCTCTGTTATTGTTGATTTAAACTTTTAGTATAAAATATAAACAATGGGATTTTACATTGCCCCCTTCCCCAACCAGTGGTTAAGCCATTGTGTGCCTGTAACTAAAGGGAATTACAATAAGACAATTTAGTTGGTTAATATCAGTGGCGCTGAGTTCAGTAAAATAAGGTGGTTCAATTCTAACCAAAGCTAACCTTATGGGGCATATTAGTACCCTGGTTATTGAGTACCTAATATAATACCTACTGTAATAATGCATTACCTAAGTAATACGTAACTGGTACGTGTGTAAGTACCTAATACCTACCTACTTAAGTAATAGTATTAATTATCCTGGATAATTTTTTACCCACCCATCCACCATTTTAGGTGGTTCATTTGAACCACCTAAAGTGTGTACTCGGCGCCACTGGTTAAGATGAAACTTACAGATAGGTACTAAATATTAAAAAATTATTTAAAAGTGTGATATAGATGTATGTAACTTTTCCATTTAACTAATGAATAAATAAATATGAAATATTAATAGTTATACATTTATTTCAACTTGTTATAGGTTGACCAATAAAACAAACGAATTAAAAACAATCTATGGGGAATTGCTGCGAAAAAGTACTGACGCTGATGATTTTTCACATTTACTCAGAGTTGTAACACAGATATCAGAATTAAGCTTCTAAGTTTAATGATTAGGTGAATTGGTTAAAACAATATCATAATACTTGTTACATTAATGTTAATTACTGTTTGTTGTATATTTTTTTGTTTTCTTTTTATAGTCAACACTACTATTAAATGTTGGAAACTAGTAACTATTTTTATAATTCTACTGCTACTATAAGATTTGTTTTTTGTGATACAAAAATCAGAAATAAATAATAGCATTGACTAGTATTTATATTCAATGATAATAGTAATAATATAGTACAATGTGGACGTTATGTAAAGTAATTCAAACCAATTTTTGCGAGTGTATCAACACATGTTTATTTATGTCAATGAGTTTTAAATTAAACGATACACCAACAATATATTTTGTCTTCACTTTTAAGTATACATACATACATTATTCCATTTTTTTTATATCCATGAAATGATGTGCGATTAACATAGTTCAAAAATAAAAAAAAATCTTACAATAGTCATAGTGTATTAGCCAATAATTCGTAATGATTTATAAATATTAAGTGTTGTATATTGTACAAAATTACACTTGGGGGATCAATAAACAATAGGTTAAACTCTATTTACTTTGGGACAGTAGTTATTAAGAGGACGCCACAACCGCATGTGTTGTCTCCATCTTACAAACGCGTAACATACCAAATTTACGCACAGAAATTCACGTTCTATGTTGTTCACTTAAAAATTAGAGTGAATCTACCTGTTATAAAACTTGATGGTAAGAACATTATCTGTGTTATGTTAGAAGTTTTTTTACGATACCTAATTCAGTTTTTAAATGAGTTATGAGCATTATTAATTTACATTTATTATACACGCATAACTCACTTGATAACTGAATTATCGTAAAAAAACTTCCAACACAACACAGATAATGTTCTTACCATCAAGTTTTATAACAGGTCGATTCACTCTAATTTTTAAACTAACGACATAATACGTGAATTTCTGTGCGAAAATTTGGTACGTTACGCGTTTGTAAGACTGAGACAACACATGTGGGTGTGGCGTCCCCTTAACGACAGTTGTATTGTAGCTGAATAATAATTGAGATGTCAAAATATGGTGCTATAATTCATACGTAACGAAGGAGTCTGGCTAATTTATTTGTTATCAATGTTATCATATTTTATTCACTTTGAAGTTTGATGTATGTCTTAGAAAGTACGGTTTTTTTGTTAATTGTTTTTATATGATTGTACAGATGTAACGGATGTAAGATGTTGTACGAATTGTAAATGAACATAAGAAATATTATAGGCCCAAACAGAGAGATGTTCATTTCTTTCTATCAAATACAAAATTACAAATAATGACTTTTTATGAAAACTGTACAAATCGCAACCGAGATTCGTCATGAACAAATGTTCAAAAAAAACAAATTCACTGTTGCCCAAAAATTGTGTCTACTCACGCTGTGGTGGTACATATTAATATATTATATTAGGTATATTAACTAATAACTATAGACTATAGTATTATAATGCTGGAAATATTTTGTCGGGAAAAATGTAATGGGCACTCCTCAAGCGTCTTCGGCGACGGGCGAACACTTAACGTGAAACAAAACAATGTGTCGGCAGAAATACATGGAATATATGCCATTTGATTATTGTTCAGCTCCAGCAAAAGCATAATCGAAGTATCAACTTAATAAATTATTTTGAGTTATGACTTGTGTGTTATGACGTACTTACATAATAATATAATATTGTTACATGGAATTTAAACGACAGAAATATCATAGTACATTAATATTTAATACCATCGAAAGTAGTGGTCGTCGCAAGATCGGTTGACAGAAACCGATATTGACAATTATTGACACAATGATTAATGACACGGGTAATAATTAATAATAACAATATGGTATAGGTACCCATAACTTTGGGTACATACAGAGTACAGAATAGAAAATGAAATCAACCGTAAACGAAGACCAATAAACAAAACGGTCGCGTAATAGGTACAACATTATAATATTTAAATTAATACCTAGCGTTATAAATTAAAATAACATAATGATAATATTATATCCATAGAGGTATCTCGGGCTCGCAAGTCGTAATGATTTAAAAAAAACAGCCGACAACGTTTGTTTATAATATAAAGCATAATATAATATTATTACAACATTCGTATATAAGAAGGTATACAGAGTGTATGGATAGGAACATGATCGTATTTTATGCTTATTTTCACGCTACGAAATACGGTCTTATATAATATTATTATCATTGTGATTAAATGACTGGGAAAAATAAATAGTAAATACGATCAACAGAAAACGATAATAAATAATAATAACAACAACAATGGAGAGAATCCGGAGATTTCCTCAGGTCGGCCACGGGACGTCGGGGCACTTCTTCATTCAGTCGTCGTCTCGCGTCGGTGAAACTGGTTCGATTTTCATTGGCGGCGGCGGCGTCGTTGTCGTCGCAGCGGACATCAACAGCGCCGGATTGGCGACGGCGATTATGTTGCCGCCGCTCGACGATATTATCTGCAAAGTGGAAACGACGACGATATTCATTGTTTTATTCGGTGCAATGGAATATTTCGAAAACCATATCGGCTTGCGATTTTTGGGTGTTAGCTATTGGCACGTACATAATTATTATTATATTGTTTAATTTTTCTACTTTTCACGTTACCATCGCGTTACGGCAGGCATACGAGTAGGTTACCTATATGGCTATATTGAATTATTGAGTTTTGGTTTTATAGGGGTCTCAATAAAAATAATATTATTGTCTTATTTGAGATGTATATAAACATTAATATAACAGCGTACGCGTGGGAGCCGAGCCCGGGGGGGGGTCTATATTAATAGTTAATACCTATATTCTATATTGTAGTATTGTACCTATATAATATATGTATACATAATAATATTATACAAGTAGGTACCAACTTTTAAATCTGTTTCTTTTTCAGTCATATCTATGGATAAGGCAAATATTTTGGTAGATACCCACCTAACTCATAAGTGACATAAGTAGTTGGGCTCAGAAGTTGATGGCCTCACAAAGTGAAAGTATTAAATACCTAATTGCTAATGACTTGAAATAAAATGCAAATATGACCTAACGGTGTTAAAAAATGACCAAAAAAAAATTGTACATCTATTTATCAATTTTGTTTTATTGAATAAGGTGAGTTTAAAATGTAAAAATATATTAACAAACAGTTTTAAAATGTATCAAAACAGCTAGAAAAGCATCGTCTAAGACGTTCCAAAAAATTAATTTCCTTTTTCCGATAAGTGATAAGGATAACTTTGGTCAATGCACTCGTTATGTTTACCCGGCCCAAGTCCGCCGTCATGCATGGTGCTCTTATTATATTATGTTATTACGCTTTAGTTAGGTATTATTATGTGCCCGGGACTGGATAATTTTTTACCTGGACTTTGTCGTTGAAAAACCGATCAACCAGATGTCTGTTGCCGTTTATGTGGGTGGACGGACTGCGACTGCGGCGACGGCGCTGAGGTTCTCCGTCGTCTTCGTCCGTGTCGTCTGTATCGCCGTGAGACAAGTTAATCTGGAAACAGAGAAGCCCGTTGAACGTACGAAGATGAAGGATATAAACAATTGAATGTCTTAGTTGGGTTAAAAATGCAGTTACAACATAATATTGCAATGATGTTGTAGTGTACATTGATATAAGTAGGCATTTAGTTAGTAGGTATTATAATATCATTAGTTATAGTTATTGTATTACATAAAGCTGCTGCAGTCCAAGCCACGTGCGTGTTGACGTGTCCGAGAAATTTGTTATTCAAAATAATATAGTAATATATATATTATTTGCATACGTACCTGGGGTTTGGAAAAACACAAACAAAACAAAAGCGAAACAAGCTAAAACAAACATAAACTGAAAAGGTTTTGGTTAATAACGACGCACAAGTATGAATCATAAATTAATAGTAAATTACATTAATGTACCTACATAATATATAATACATATATAGTATATACACACATACATGCCTGTTAAATAATAACACAATTTGCACATCTAATGGGATATTTACATAATATACAGAATAAATATTTAAAAAAAAATTTAAAACAAACGACTCTAGCTACGTTCAAAATACACAACAATAGTATTCATTTTTTTTTCATTTTTCATTTTTGCTATAGTGTTATATGCTACGCTGTTTAGAATCGAAACGAATTCCCACTTCAAAGTTCAGATTTTTCATCCAAAACGTCGTACCTAGGTAGGTACTGTATGACTCGTGAGGATCAATTTTAATTTTAAACTTTAAAGTACCATGTAAGTAGGTACCTACATACTTCATATAATAATTATTTTTTATCATGGATTTTCAATATTTTAAAAATTAAAGCACTTGGGATATGAACGACTTATAACTTTAAAACGAAATAGATATCAAATAAATATATAAATAAATAAATATAAATTAGAACACAATTTAGTAAGTCTGAAAGCGTAGGCTATACTTTTATTTCCGAAACTCTATTACTTTGAAACACAGTACTGCAACTCGTTTCTTGATGTTACTAAAGTCTAATATAACAGTACCTATACTTCGTTTTAATATTATGTACGAAATTAACGTCAAACATTTTATTATATTAAATTTCATTTGTCAGATTTTTCTGAGAATATTTATTTTCATTTGTTAGGTTTTTACTGAGAATCGTATTTTCTTTTATTAAGTTATAATGTTCAAATATTTCAGTACAAAATAAATAGTATTCCAAGTAAACCAAATTTTTAGAAACGAAAATATTAACTATTTTATGAAAAGAAAATATATAGAAGAAAAATAAGTTCAACAATATTGATATTGAAACATGTTATTGTTTGAAGATATTTAAAATAAATATATTTCGGTAATAATTATTTAAATCACCTGTACCTATATAGTTTTCAAATATTTTAAAGCAATGATTGTTTTTTATTTTAAATTTATAATTACTTTTTTTTTTTATATAATATTAATGTTTACGTTTTTGCCAGTTGTATCAAGTATAATATTATATTTTTGTAGCGAATATTGAAGGTAAATAAACTAAAAATGTTCACATGCCGCAAAATTCCCAACCGTTTATAAACCATGCGTTATTTTGCGTTATTCACACTGTATTAGTAAAAATATTAAAAATGATATTATTATGATGGATCTGAATTCCAATATGCACGTATGTGCAATGTGCCAATGTGCATATTTTTCTAGATGAATGCACCATATTAATTGTCTCCTGACAGAATAACTATTATTTTGTGTTAGTTTTGGGGGACGCAAAACCTCAAAGCGGATCGGTGCCGATACCTTTACCGCACTCGCCATCACCGCCGTGAACACGTTTTACCTGATTACCGGTATTCTGTGATGGTTTTCCGTCGTGGTGGTAGTCGACGCTGCAACGAGTCATCGAATCCCTCGAGTCACTAATGTCCTGAAATTTTGGTCAAGAAATCAGTTTAGGCACGACAATTGCAAAATATATAATATGTATAGTCGAATGGGATAATAATAAATCAAAAACACATTATAGAGTATAATATAGGTACAGGAACTCCCGTAACTCTAAAGTCTAAACCCATAACGGACAATTGGGGGGGATAGTTTTATAGCGTACGCAAATATAGAACGACACGACAGACCAGATAACTGTCAGTCATGATGTGCAGTGATGTACCTACCTACACTATACTTAAAAATGTCAAACGGATGATCGTTATTATTTTTCTCTACGATTATTTTCTCTACGATTATTTTCTTAATAAAGCAAACCGCACCTGTAATGGAGAACTAGTATTACTGTACGACATTTGAGAGTCCGTGTCGTCCGTATCGAAACCGGCCGATGACGACGTCCTTCCGCCGCTCCTGTCCCTCCGCATCGACCTGCGTGTATCAGACGTTCGATGTTAATGTTTAGTTTTGCTTAATATTTAACTTTGAATCAAATGTGACGCGAATTACTTGTTTTGCCTCAGGTCGTTCTGTTCCACCAACAGCTGCGCTTGGCGATTCTTCAGGGTTTCCAACTGGTGCAGGACCGCCTGGTCATCTTTGGTGCTCTGGTCCAGCTCCTCTCGGCGATCGTTGACTGCCTTTAGTTCGTCAGCGATCTGATCTAAACGTTCCTGCGAAAACAACACGCCTTATCCATTATATAACGTAGATGTAGGTTACCTATTATATTATAACCGACAGCGCTAATCGAACCCATGGCTGCAGCCAGTGATCTTAGGATAAAAAGACAAAATAATCAATTGGTAATTGGTATCGATATCACATAATATTAAGTAGGTACTACCTACTTAACATTTAAATTATATCATATATTTTATAATTATAATACCTATTTGATAAACCTATCCCAACAGGCAACAAAAACACTCCGCCACATTCCGTATAAAAATAAACACTAAGTATAAAAAAACGGCTGTAAAAGTTGTGATATCGTTTTATATTTTTTATAGGTAACTATCTCTTTGAACTATTAATATAATTTATGTTAAAATAATTGACTAAAAAATTAATAGTAAAATCAAACTAAATTCAATTTTTTAGCAGGTTATTTTAAAATACATCATATCTATAGTTCAAACACTTAGCTTCCTACCTATACAATAATTATACCACAACTTTTAGAGCCATTTTTTTAAGACTTATGGGTTTTTCGGTAGTATTTGAGTGTATTTTGTCTATATGTGTATTTTAAGGCACACTTTTATTTTTATACTTAGCGTGAGTACGTGACCCTGCCGGGTCGTTGGATATGATGCGTATAACGTTTGTAATATATGTATTATGTATAGACAATATTATACATAGATACAGGAAACAAAAAACAATACTCAGCTCACAATACTTATTGTGTACAAAATATAATGGTTTATATAATTTTTCTATATAGTATTTTAATCACGCAATTTGTATCTATCTTTCAAGTAAGTATTGATTATTTGTCTCGAGGGTCGTCAACAAACGTTTATTTACCTGTCGCCGAATTTTGAGTAGTTCCACGTGATCGTCCAGACGGGGCCTTTTCGACCCGTAACTACAGTCGCCGTTCGAAGTCAATCCTCCGAAACTCTGCAGCATGCTTGACCTGTATTGATTTTAATATTTTTTAATTTGCACAACACTTAATTACTGATATTTGTTTTACTACGAATGTTTAACGAGGATTTCGATGGGATATGAAATAATAATTTTTTTTAGTTCATGATTAGTTTATTATTTAGGTAAAATTAGTTTACTTGGAATGTCCTTTAGAGTAATGGTATCCCGAGTCACGGACCACTTGTCGGGCTAAAGAGAACAGTTCGTCTCGTCTAGTCAACAGGGCAGGCACTAATTTGCATATCTGTGCGGCAGCCTCGTTTACGGATACCTGTGGGTTTGTAAACATCGTTTTCAAATTCGCGTGGAATAAGGTATAGTTTAAAGTATTTTTATTATATCGATATTTTTTTTTAATTAGGATGTTCTGTTCCATTATTTGTTGTCGATATAGCCTTATTCCCGTTATTGGACACTGAAATGCCGCTAAATGATTCACACGTTTCTACCGTATATTTATAATATTAATAATATTAATTTAGACAGTTATTTACCTCGTGCAATGTCAAAGGTTTTTCTGGTTTCCTTTTGCAATCGAACCGCCCGTAAATAGCGGAATACTTCCTAATTGATTCTATGCGCCTAGGATCTTCTTCCTGCATGTTCATGACGCACTGTAAAACCAATGCAAACTATAAAATATAATATAATATGTGACATCTATAATAATCTAGGTTTCATGGAGTGTTGATTCACAGTGTACATTTATACTAAATTAAAGTTAATTAGAGTCGGTAGTCAATGTAATGGTAATTTTATAATTGGAAAAAATATAACGTCAAACGGTAAAGTTCCCCTAAAATAGTTTCTTGTACAATTTAAGTGCGACTTCCCTGCAACATCCATTTAAAATTTTGGGTTAAGACCCGGGCTCCATCGTTTATGTTGTAAATCATGGTGTTTGGACTTGGAGCTCAATACTTTCCAAATTTATTTGAGTTTTACAATGGGGAGTAATACTTCTTCCCAGAGAGAAAACGCTTCATGGGCCGACCAAATTAGGGTTTTTATGCGCAACCCCAAGATACACCCTGCTAAGGGAACTGGTTTCGATACGCAGGGGGATGCTCAGAATTGGCGCAATCTCTCGCTGGACAGAGTATAGGTAAAATATAAAAATCAGCGTTGCATATATAAATAGCAAAATGTCCAAAGCTCGAAACTTTCTCAAATACTATAATAAATACCATTCAACTTTGTAAGCCTGATATATTTTTTCCTACCATGCATAAATTATAAAAAAATATTTTATATACAATATGATACATGGGTCAACTGCTACTCCTGATCAAATGTTTTCAGATCTTAAAATGTTGAAAACGCATTTAATAAATTTCATGGCAGAAGTATATATTAGTTGTTCAAGTTTAATGAGTAAAAGTTTACTACCTTGATAATTTAAAATTTTAATTATATACTGAGACAGACTACTCTTTTTTTACATACTAATTATTAATGCTGATCTATTTTTAAATTAAATGTATATATTATAGTATAGTTTTACTGCGTGGTTGTGAATTTGTGATGTGTTATAAAACCGTCTCAGTGGATTGACCACGATGACAGTAGATGTAGAACATTACAAAAGAAATATTAAAAACCATATATGAAATATTGACTAACTTAGTAAATGGACATATTACTATTAATTATCATAGTCTCACCCCCAATGTCTTCAGTTTGAAAAGTATTTTACTGACTATAGTATAAGTGGTGCAGACGTGCAGTAAGATAAAACTTAAAAGTTAGCAACTAAATAAATATGTTTATTTTGTGTTGTGTAACAGTTCGATTGTGTTATATTATGTGTTACCTATATAGGTACTTATATGAATAATATATTAATATTATATACTTATGCTATCGGTTACTTTTCAGTAAAGCATTGCTTAATAATTTCACTTTCTCCTTTCTGTGATAAACTCATGCTTACCTCGAGTTCTTTGTTCGCCTTTCGTTTCGCTGTCTGTGCCTTGGGTTGGTACTGCGGTAGCCTTTGCACTAGTTGCTTAGCTGACGTAGCCAACCGGGCGATTTGGGATTCATCCAGTGACGGAGACAGCTGCAACGGCGATCCTGGACTTTGGCCAGGACTGTTACTATCACCATAGTGTTGTCCAGCCGAAGTTGTAGCTTCGCTCGTTTGTGCAACCTAAAAAACACGTGTGCAATACAGGTATCACTGATTACAACGATATATCTCTACACTAGGTAAGCTTTACTCTGTGGTTTATATAAGTGTATTAGTAAATAGTATTATAATTATACACGATAATAAAACAGTCATTTATTAATCAAATTATTAAGTTTCAATTCCGATAGGAATGTGTGTATCACAAAAACTACTACAAAAACACACATCATATTGTATAACCTGTGATCGTGTAGGTCTACTCTAAATCTAAAATAATGATTTAAATGTATATTATATACACTGAAATATATTTTATGTATCCGTTAAGATCTCATACCCCGGTATATAATATAATTATAGAACCTTTAGGGGCGTGCTTGTATGTATTAATAATGCATATTACATAGGAAATCTAATAATAATATTATACCTGTGGTAGTTGGTTGGTCGAACTGGGCACGGGCGATGGTGACGTGGGCGGCTGGTAACCGTATCCTAGAGGTGTATAGTAACCGTGGTGTATGGATGTCTGAATCAACGGATTCGGGCAGACGCTGAGAAAGGGCCGCACCGGGTTCGGTGGCAGGACGATAGCACTGGAACCACCACCTGCGACAGGAGACGTCAGCGGCGCTTGGAACATGGCTGCGGACAAAATCCAAGATCGAGATGAGCAAAGTTTCTAAACCATAACCGCGGTTTGAATAGGAATTTTAAACATTTGATTAATATAATATATTTATATTATATACTATATATGTACACAGAGACGTCCCCATATCTATATGATGACTATCCACTCACTATATTTAATATTATAATGCATATACCTACAAGCTGTCCGGATGTCGAATTGAAAAGGTCACTATATGTACAATATTATTTATTATTATCGTGACTGCAACTGTAGTGGTTCAATAATTGCAAATTTGTAACATAATTTAGGTATATATAGGACAAGCGGACACTCACACTATACTTGTATTTCAGCTGATGGTAATGTGTCCTATCCAAACCAATTTAAATCATTTATCGTGTACCTATCCAGACAGATGTACAATATAGGTAAAGTGTCGAATAACACTAACCGACGGATAACGAATTTTATTACCGGCAGAATTCGGCCGGTTAAGTGTTTGTTAACTTTAACTGGACATTGTAAGAACGGCCCTTAGAGTAGGTATATAGTCAATAGGCCAACTTAATACACGTCTAGTTTAATATATTTAAGAATATAAAATACATAATATACACATATAGCCATTATAGGTATACATGTGATTGTCCATATAATATCCGCGTGGAAGGTTTATGACTGTTCGTATAGGGTACCTATATCGGTATTCGGTGTTTATTATTATAATTTGCGATCAGTCATTGTATAACAATTATTTGAATACTAACTTATGAATCTAAAATAATGGTCAAACCGTCAGTAGCTCCTGGACAAAAATGCGTATATTATTTTGTTTGTGGTAAACATTTAACGATATGAATGAAATTAAGATAAACGTGCAGATGTAATCAGAATTTTCCAATGTCACACTTTCAAAATGTTAATAATAACAAAGTAAAAAGGGTGGAAATGTAGTTGATTCAAATTTACACGTGTCAAAATATCTAATATGCGTCAAATTTATTGTCTAGCGTCGAAATTACGTATACTCAATAATTATGCACAAACTATGCAGGTATAAAACTATAATTATTTTATTTAATGTTTATTAGAGTAGATAATTAGGTATTATGATAATCATATATTCATATGTAATGTAACAACAAGATAATCAATTAATACTAATAGTAGTAATAGAGAGTTATTATCAACTTAAGAGTTTTAATATTCAGTTGAATATAAAAGTTAAACATAGTATTATAGTAATATATTCGACGTTATTAATTTAAAAAATAATAAAGTTTATTTGGTAGGAACTTTAATGGTTGATACATTTTATAAATTAAAATTTCGTGATTTATGAAGAAACTTAACCTAATTGCCTAACCTTGTTCTATTTTATCTTAATTTTTTACCTGATGTAAAATGAAAAACACTTTTATAGTTTTATATTATATTTTTTAGTTTATAGATTTTGGAATGTTTTCTTAAAACGAATTATTTATGGTTCCTAAAATGAAAAACTCTCAATCCCAGAATTATGTACTTTATCCGCCGGGTTATCTGAAAACCCCTCAACACATTGCAGCTGCGACAGAAAAATTGATCGAGCAAACTTTTTTTTGTCTTTTTTTCCCTCTCTCCCTCACTCAACCCTGGCACTCTCTCTCTCTCTCTCTTTCTATCTTTCCCGCTCCCTCATTCTCCTACGTTCCTCTCTTCCCTCGATTCGACGACGTTGTTCCACAAAATAACAAGAGGTAGGACTGGGTAGAGGTTTTATGATTCGGTTCTTTTTTTCCTCCTTTTTTTTGTTCCTTTTATTTTTATTTTCCCCCCACTCTCTCTCTCTGTCTCTCTCTCTCTCTCTCTCTGAGCGATTTCTCTTGTAACGAGAAAAAAAAGGGGTAGAAAAAAAACCAGCAGACTACTATATATATATACACACACACACATTACACACGCACACACAAACGTATCTACAAACTCGAATATATATATACATAGGTGATCCCGTTGAAAATTTACACCACAAAATGTTCAGTTCGTCGGATAGGGGACGGGAGAAGCTTTTGGAAAAAGTCATATATAATTTTTTCTATTGCAAAAGGTTTTCCCTCTTGGATTTGAACTTTCAATGTTCATTCTGGGTTTTGTGTGCAGGGCAGAATTGACGCAAAACAACAATTTTCCTAGAATTCTGTCCATTTTTAACATTATTATTATTTATTAAACATATTTACAATTTTTATTTGTTATGTCTATACATTTTATGAAAATGATGATTAAATTCCAAAGAAAAACATACTGTCAAGGACTTATTATTAACTAAAATTTTAAAATTGATAAATTTAAGACAAAAAAAATTAAGGTGGTCACCAAACAACCACTAATTAATTTATTATTATCTTTATAAGTATAAATATTACTCATCTGTATACGATCACGTAATAATAGTCCAGTCCATATAATTATTCTGTGAATTAATTCTAATAAAATACTTAATAAAACACACATATTATTGATTTAAATGACAAAATATTAATTCAGCTATAGATTAATTTTGAAATATTATAGAGCCATAATAGAAAAAAAAAGTTTTTCGTATACCTATGTTAAGTTGGAACAAATTCATTTATAGCTATTAAAACTATTACTATATAGTATATTTTTCTCAAAAATGTTTAAAATAAAAGCTGTTTATTGAATAATGAAACAGAAAATAATTGTATTAATAATTCAAGTTAAATACTAAACAGCTGGTAAATTTCGTAATTCAGATGAGACGCTGCTGGGAATCTCGTTGGACGAATTGATATCTATACGTAATCGTTAATCAACTAAAAACTAATAAGTACAATATATTTTGAGTGGGTACGTTGCAATCATTGCATACCTTATTATGTCAAAAAACATGCATGGCACCTTGAGAAATACAATACAATGGTAAATATTGCATTTTCTTTACACTTATATCTATATGATACATGCATATACTTATATTATATATATGTGTGTGTACACTGTACATATTATTATAGTGTATAAATATACCTATGCATATACGTATGCATACAAACCGAGGAACTACACGCCGCACTAATCATAATAATAACAAAAGGAGTGACTGGTGTATAGAAAGGGTTAAATAATAATAATAATAAACCCGGTGGCTCACCAACTGCTCCTGCTGCTGTTTGGAACCTTATTCATTGTCATTCTCTTACGTGCATTCGAGAATATTATTATTATTATTATTATTATTAGTTTCATTAGTATTCGACCTACATGTATATTATGCCTATCGAAGGATTACCATTACCTACCTACTGTTATAATGACCCAACGACATTTGGTCAACGGGCCCAAAACACCGTTCGTTGGTAATAATGCATTTATACATTCGACCCAGAATAATGATCAATCAATTTTACTACGAAGAATCATGAAACACGTGTCTTTAAAACGTAATGTAATAATTAGGGTTCGGGACTTATTGCACACAAATTATAGGAAATATGCATGCACATATGCACTTAAAATAACCTAAATATGCGAACAAATATGCAATTGAATATTTTTTTTTAAATTAAAAAATTTGTATTATTCATTTAAATTTAGACCTTCTTTTGTAATTAGTCATATTTTTGACTACAATAACACTATCAACATTATATTACTGAAGTGTATGTTCGATTTCATTTTCTTCGTCTTCTCCTACAATGAAAAAAAGGTTGGGTTTTTCTTTAATATATTAAATTATTATTAAATATAAAAACGATGAATTGTTCACTTGTAAAGTTTGACTGTACGCAATTAGACATTAGAACAGAGATATTGAACAACGCATGAAAGTAAAAAAAATAAAGTTAACCTTTAAAATAAATGTACTTAACATAAAAAAAAACTGCTTAAATATGCTGTAAATAACAATTAAACTGCCAAAATTTGTCAAATATGCATTTTGCTCAGAAAACGGCAAAATATGCAAAAATATGCAATTAAAATTTTTGTATTTCAATCCGTTATGACTTAAAACAAATTTAAATCTTACTTAGACTATTCTGCAGTAATTATTAAGCCATATGCAAATGCAACAAGTCCCGAACCCTAGTAATAATTTATGATAGTATACATAAATGTGTTTGGTTTTACCTATGTTGCAGAGTGAATTTGTTTTCATTATTTTGTTTGCAACACATGTAGGTATTACGTAGGTACATTTCAAATATTAACTGTATTATTAATTCAAGTGTAGGAACTTACTTGGGTTGCTGACCCATTCGTGCAAAGCTTTCTGCAGCCGTCTAACATGTAGTGGTTTTGACGCCATACCGACCAGTGCCATTATCTCAAGAAATTCCTCTTCGCCGGCGTCACAAAGCTGTTGCAAGTCATCGCCTCCTGTTCATTACGACGAGAATGTAATAATAATATAATATAATATAATAATAACTTTAATTTTCACAGTAATACTTTCTGCTTATAATAATATTTTTGAAAAGCACCTCTTCAGTCCTCTTTCAGTCTTTTGTATATGTTTTTAAATACCTAGTGTTAATATTAGTAAAATACTAAAATACTTAAATTGTTATATTATAGTATTATATTAATAAATTGTATTATCATTTATTGGGTTGTACATTTGTGAGTGCAATTTAATATTTAAAAAAACAAAATCTACAAGACACGCGTATATATTGTTTTTAAAATATGTATTTGTATAATCTTTCATGTAGATAAACCGTAGAAACAAAATAAAAAAAAAGTTTATTATCTTTTCAGGTTTAAAGATTTTATGTAGAATCAAATGTCTTTGGTTTAAAGATAAATTTATAAAATTGACAACAAACAGTATTACCTATTTAATATTAAACATAATATATTCATTACGATCGGATAATTTAAAAGATCAACTTTATCTCCGATTATTTAATTTCAAGTGTACCTATTATTTTGTCGAGAATATTTTTAAATTAATTTTTATATTTTTATGATACCAGAATTTATTGTATTCTTTTTCATTATTTATAAACGATATTTATTATGTAAACGAGTCGGATGAGAAATAATTCAGAATAAAACAAATCAGAGGTGAATTTTATCAATATTCAGATATTTCATTATTTAATTAAAATATTCAATGCCAAAAGGTAAGTTAAAATTATTTTAATGAACTCATCTTATGCTAATAATACACTGGATTAATATTTTTTAAATAAATATACTTTAGTAGGTACTTTTATAAAAAAAACAAATCAAGAAGAATATCCTGTATTTTACCTAGGTATATAAATTATAAACAATATTAATGGATATATTTTTAAGTAAAAACATAATACAATTTTGATTGATTTTAATTTTGAACTTCATTATCATTTATATTTTATTAATTCATTGTCTTGTGTAGATCATTTTAACGTTTTATTCAAGTCCATTAATAATTTCTGTATGTGCGTAACGTAAAAAAACCCTAATTTCAATTAGGTATATAGATCACATCTACTCCAATTATTATTACTAAATTGGCTATTTTTTTTCAATGCACCACTTTCCTATAGGTATTAATGTGTCCGTCTTACCCATTTCGAGTAGTGTGTCGTAATACGCTAAAAGACTAGCTCTCTGCATTACCCTGTACAATTGTAATTCAGCTTCGTTACTTGGACTGGATGTCATAATCACTGAAACACAAAACAATTTTTACAATAAGTATATAAATTAATAATTAATATAAATATTTTAAAACCAAATTACAGATAATAAAGTTAACGTTCAGGTTCGGTGTATTAAAGATGTGTTGCATACCTGTATTATAGTATATATACAATATACATATATTATATTATTAATATTATTAACACCCATTTATTCGTATTTTTAACCTTTTACAATAGGCCTTAACCTTTACACGATTTTTTTTTCATTTGACGGTGGCAGTGGCGTCGAAAATGCTATTATTATTGTTACAATTTATGTTATAGGTATAGCAGTGGTAGCGTTTAGAATTCAGGTCACCGATAATAAATGTGTCTGCTGCTCCTACCCTCCCCTCCAAACCCGTTTCTGAAGGGTAGTGTTTTTATTTTATAATATATAATATATAGTGTTTTCCTTCATTCTTGCGACCAATATTTTATATTTTGCGACTTTGTAGGAGTTTCGTTCTTTCATTATATATGGGTGGTATACTAGTATAATAGCCCCTTTTGCCCCTCCATCTATATATTAGGATCGGCTGTATTACATATGAATATATATACGATACTTGAAGAAAATAATGGTTTAGCGTCCTATCGGTCTTGTTGCTGAGGAGAAGAAATAGATGATTTTTTTCCCTATCGGCTATCACGTGGTATTATTGTATTGAATTGGCGTCGCATTGTCGTTGCAGTTGCATCGAGAACTGCAGTCGACGGCGCCAGATTGAGTATATACGTTTGGTCTGTTGAAAGAAACTTTTATGATTTTTGTGGTTCCGATTAAAATAAATTGCCAAACCGTTTATATAGTCAATATATAATTATATACGTCGCATTTATAAGAACAATTTAATATACTTATTATAGTTGTTTTCAGTTAAGAATTTTAAATTTTATCTAGTCTGTTATACGAACACTGCTGGAGTTTTCTAAACTTAAATAACTATAACTATATACATAGTTATGTATTTATATTTTTACTACAGTTCGTAACAGATAGAAAACTATAATAATAATAACTATTTTGTGATAAACATAAACCTATAAATCTCCCGAAGCGAGTGCGTATATGTTTGTACATCGTATATTTTACTCAGCGCTCACTGGTTAAATCCGATCAATGAAAATAAAGTAATAAATGCTTCAGATTAAAATTAAAATACCCATACTAATTTTACTAATTTTTAGTAAATACACTTAAATAATAAATTACTTATTTCCCAACAAATCAAAATAATTGCTATTAAAAATTATTATTATATAGTTACTTGGTGTAATAGCAACAATTCCTTAATCCCCTGCAGTTGTAACCGTATGTACCCGACAGTGCGCTGCAGAAGTGGTCGCCTAATATTATTCATTATTATTATTATTATTATTTTTTTTGTTAAAGGGTTGGTGGTCAGGACAATATTTGAGGTGGGGGTACCTTCTGTTTATTAACCAGAGGTACTGTAGTATACCACCGTGTTGTTCTAACGACTTCCTGAGCTATAAAAGTGACCTGGGGCCGTCTAGTCCGTTGTAATTATATTTCACAACGTACATCGTACAGCAGCTGAGGGTTGAACTCGTTTTCAAGGCTGCCAGCACCATGGGGTGTCCATTATTATAGTAACAAAAAAAAAAAATAAGATAAAAACAACATAGGTCAATAATATTGACCTTTAATAATAATATATTAAGGACGCGTATATTGTTGGTAGGTACCTATATATTATAGATGATTACTACCAGCCACTGACAAGTTAGTTTTATTGGTTGTCAATATACGACTTTTATTATGAATTAATATTTACTAATATTGTTATAATGTTTTATTTATTAACTTTTTGTTTTTAGCACTTGAATCAAATTATACAGAAAAGTGATATTTCGATGTTTGAAACATATTAAAAGAAGTTATCAGTATTTGATCAGTTTTGATATTTTATTTAACCCTTTCAGATTCAAATCACTTTGATTTTAATTTTTTTTTCATATTAAATTGTTTTATAATATGCTTTAAATATGTTATACAACATTATTTTAGTCAAACAAAAATAATAATTGATCAATTAAATAGGTATTAAAAACAAATAATAATTACAAAAATAACATTTTTGTGTCGGGTGATTCATATAAAATATTAGTTATTACGCTGTATTTTAACTGTGTCAACAATACTATTTGAATACCGTTGAATGTCGAATATGATCTACTTTTTAGAAGTGAATAAAATATATAATATAATATTGGTATATATGTGGTAGGTATACAATACAAATGTTACGCGACGGGTTTTTTTTCCACATAGGTAGATGTAGATGTTCTATGTAGTAGATGCGTTGACTGGGATTTAAATAAAGAACAAAAACATCGAAGAAATCGGTTTGAATGCTTAACAGCAGATGTGGCCCGTACAATGGACGTAACAGTAAGTAGAAAAAAATTATGTGAAAAAAAATTGAACCAGAATCTTCTAGTAGATAAAAAAAAGATGGTGTATATGTATAGTGTGTACACATCAATTAGGGCCCGTCCATCTGTCTTTGGGTAGTCCATCTATGTAAATGAACCTTTTGTACAGCCCCAGGGTCAAATATGGGTATGATTTGTTAACTGATCAAACATATACATTATACACACATATATTATAATATGTGCTATACGTACGTGGACGTTGTGGGAGATATAAGGTCAACGATCTGGTTAAAATAACAAAACACCTTTTCATGTCGTGTAGCTGATCGTATTTTGATAAGAGTCATATTATGATTGTGTCTAATATTTTTTTTTAAGGTATGATGTATGGGATTCACGAGACCTTGGGTAGTTGGATAAATTGTCAATAACAAGGTTGTAATAATTGATAAACACAATTTAAACCCAATGTAGTCGTATTTCATGACCAACAACGTGAATTTACAGGTATAGGTTACTGGTTATAGGGTCTATATTATAATAAATAAGAGATCACGGGAATAAAATGCCTGTAGTTGAATATTGAATACTCAACACATTAATGATAGATAAATATTATTTTGGATTTATAACTTCAAAAATATATACAATCATTCATGAACTATTTTTCAGACGTTTAAAAGTTTTCCTATTCAAATGTTTAGTTTTATATTAAATTTAATAGATATAAAATTGAGAATTTTTAATTTCACATAAATAAAGAGCTACATTATTTAGATTCAAAACATTTTTATGTATAATATTGGATCTTCATAGTACCTACCTATAAAGTATAAACTAATTATAAAATGTATTTTAAATTTAACTTAATTAATTATTATTAAAATTACATTCTAATTTGATTAAAAATCATATTTATTATAAGAAACCTGCACATTATCCAATATCATAAAACATTAATTTTCTATTCATTGCACTTATGCAAATGGAAAATTAATAATATCAAATAATAATTTTTTATTTTTATTTTTATAATCATAAAAACAACCTCCTATATTATATTTATTCAAATTTACTGTTTATAACTATATAAAATATGTAGGTACCATACAATAATTTTGATGATTAATTAATTACGTGATTTGGTTGTATTTCATAAATTAATTATTAAATTGAATTAATTTTGTTGATACGATTTTCAGCTAAAAGATGAAATACATTTTAAATTATTGTATAGACTGTTTAGAGTATTAATTAAAATTTTTTTATAATAGTAGTTTTATATAAAAATAAAAAACATAACTGACCTAAATATTACCTAATACTTTTTATTTTTGTTTACTTGTTGGTAATGTGTAGGTTTTATATCAAATAGGAAAACTAGATTAAAGTTTTCTCACGGTATTAAAATCACTAGAGGTCAAAATAATATATATATTTTTTCGAGATAGTAAAAAATTAAATTATATACAGTGTTTCAACAGTGATATACCAAAAAAAAAAATATGGAATTATAATAGTAATTTAGGAGTGTAAGAATATTAAATTATATTCCACTAGGACAAAATGAGGTTCAACTTCTAACTTCAATGATTTTTTTTTATTCTAAACCTTCTTTGAGTCTCATGCTGATGACGATCGAGAGAAAAAAATGGACAGCAAAAAAAAAATAAATTATAAAAAACACCAGAGAATGTGAACCCTTCAGGCAGAACCGGTGGTTCTTTTTGTTTTGTTTTGTTGTTTTTTTTTAGAACCGAGGCCATTAACATTATTTTTTTTTGTCTTTTTAAAGTCCGAGAATGTCTTTATGCATGGGAAACATTAAAAAAAAACAGTACCGTAGACGGAACATAAAAAAAAATAATCAATACACCTAGAGTTCTAAGAATAAAAAAAAATTGATAAAATGAAATGGGGCCTGGGTGCCTTACGCTGTATATACTGTTGAATGATAATGAGTTTTAATAAATTGGTTCCAGCTGTTTTGATGATTAGGATTTTTTTCACCCGAGAAAATGATGATTAAAGTTGAAACTTGCATAGTAAAAATAATGTAAATTATTTATAATAATAACCACAATATCAAATAACTATATCAAACTGCAATTTATTAACAATAATAACAATAATTAAAAAATAATTATATATATACTAAGTTGAAACGGTTTTAATACAAACATAATGATGACAGAGATACATTTGAAAAATCATTTTTTAAATATTATTATAATATTTATTTTTAAAGAGAGATTTACTTTTTATTAGTTATATAACTGAAATAGTATAAATTGTATTCAATATCAAAAATAAATAGGTAGGTACTTTATCTTTATTCTAAAGGCAGATTTTATGTTTCCTGTCTTAATATCTTTATATGTTATCTGATCCATTCAGTATTAATTATGAAAAAATAATTGAACAATTATTTTATAGAAGAATAAATTAAAATACATAATTTAATACAACAGTATCGAAATGGTTGGGCGATCCATGAGATAGACAGGAATTATTTTTAAAATAATATGTTATTTGGCCGGAATGCATTTTTTGGTTGAATAAAAAGTTTATAAATGATT